CTGAAAAAAATGTAACTTATATTAAGTGATTGGAACAAGATGATATTAGCTTTTGCTTATTTCACCAGTTATCTTCATTAATATTCTTTTTTTCCATGCATGATTTTGAAATTCTTTTAATTCTTTTTTAACTCTTCATGGTCAAACTTATTTCATATATATGATACTATAATCACAACAATAATGCACATCAATAACTTTGTATGTCAGTTAAATTCATGCAAGTGAGAATTTTGATTTATTTTGACTATCGTAACCATTGGCTGTTCTAACCCATACTCATTTTTTTCAGTAAATCAGAATCAAATATGAAGAGTGGATGAATCATTATCTGCAAACCACTGAGTACAGAACTACAAATTACAAACAAAACAATAGCATGCTGCATATTCAAATCAGCCATCTGTCAGCCTCTCCACAAATACCCATAAAATAGGCGCCCATTGTTTCAGATATGTCAGTCTGTAAAATCCTCTCCAAAAATTCAAACCCAAAGCTATAAATGCAGTTTTAATTGTCATTTAAAACATACACGTATATCTATGAACTTAGATCACTTGGAGGCATGATGAATTACTTATTTTAACCTCTTACAATGTAAATGCAGGTAATAATATGAATTATAAATCAAATTGATAGGCTGTAATTAGGCTCAGGTGAGTGGACGAACAAGTGGAGCTTAGTGAGGAAACCAGGTGTTCAAGTCTGAACTGACTTATTACTGTTACAGTTACATTCTCAGATCTACAATGATGTAGTCAGGCGTGTTCAAGTCCAAAAATGATTTATAATTTGTATTGCATTAAAATTACATAACTATCAATTGCTTTCAATAGCCTCAGTTTATGTGATTATATGTAACCCCAGAATAATTTAACTTGACTTGAAGAGGTCTTTGGGAAATGGAATTAATTAAAATGCACTTATGAAAGAATTTAGAAAATCATAAACCACTGAGGTACAATTTAATTTTTGGGTTAAAATATCAGATTGAAAAGATTTAAATACATTTTCTTTATTTTCTTAAATATAGGAGCCTGTTCAAAATACAAAAAGATATTTTGCTATTATACTGTATAATTTTTATCAACTTCAAAGAAAATGTTGTATGTAGTATAACATTGGTGATAAAACTAGTGGTTCAATTCAAGATATTCTGTTTGATAAGCTGGCTGTCTGCATCATACTGCTCCATTGTTTGAAGATTCCATAGAAACTTATTGATAAGAATCTGTAACATTTTCTCTAAAAAGTTTTAACTTTAACTGGCCCTATATACATAGAATACTAGTAGAACAACTTGTAGAGTCAAGTGTGGCTATGCCTTCTACTACTGTATTTCCCATTAGAATAAAAAATCACCATTACTCTAAGGACTTAATGGATCAATTCGGACCCTTTATGAAAAAACAACTTCCTTTCTATTCCAGATTAAAAAATGATTGTGATTAATCAATTAATAATCCCTCAAAATCAAAACAAATAATCAGAAAGGCGTTGATGAAGCGTGAGCAGTGGCATCCTCTTCTTATTAATCATGCTTTTAATTGGCAGTATTAACTGCAAAGAATGATCTGCCATTTGTCAGTTATATCAGTGGCTTGAAGTATTACCCAGAGCCCTCAGGGAAATATGCTTTAGGCACCGGCTTATCAACAACAGTTGCAAAAACACACAGCAATAAAAACAAAGAAATGATGCATTGCTGTCTCTCATCCTAGGGAGAGTGGATGGAGATTTAAATGAAATGGGTTGTGGTCAATGGAAAAATGCTTGATAGTTTATGAGGTTTCACAGCATGGTTTTGTGGTTATTCCTTTGAAAAACATTCGATGATGCAACAAACATTAATTTTTAAAATTTTCCTCAGAAGCATTTCTTTCAAAGTTGGCATTTTTTATTGTAAAATACAATTATGGTAAAATAATTTCTACCATATAAAATTAAAATGCAAGTACTTTCTTAGTTTTCCTTTTTTTTCAAAAATGAAAATTCTCTCCCCAGTACATTTGTCACCTGCTGTGTCATACTCCTAAAGGATTCTTAAAGTAAACTGTTTTTGCCATTTGAGAAATCAAAGTCTGACAAATAATGAAATACAGAAAATCAGTTCCTTGGATAAACAAGACCACCTTATCTCCAGTGTAAACTGGTGCAATTCAAAACTAACTCTGTCACTCCAGTATTTGGGCTAATCCAACAAGAAGCACCATGTTTAGAAAAGATGACAAGATAGTAACAACTGAACAAAAGTGCATTTTCCATGAGAATTATTCCCTTGTCTGCGTATTTAATTTACCCAGAGATGATAAATCTTATCATTACTAAAATAATCATTTTACAAATGGAGAGGATTTCATTTCTTTCAGGTCTATTTTCCACTTGACTGACACTTTCCATTTCAAAAAGCCATTATTTGCAGTCATTAAAGCTTATCGAATGAGTCCCCTAAAGACAACAATCGCCCATAATTAATAAAACCATTACAAACAAAACACAACCTTTTCATTCACATTTGTTTGATGTGCAGTCACTGAAGATGTGGAAACAACAAAACTTGGGGATCAAACAGCTTAGGAAAGGGAATTTTTTTTTTTTTTTTTTTGGATGCATTATTTCGTGTACAGAAAAAAAACAGTATCAATTATTTAATTTTTTTTAATTAAAAAATTAAAACTAAAATACACTTCTTATGAGAAGCACACTTCTTACAGACAATGGACTCTGAAAAAGTATACTAGCTTCAAAAACAAAAAAAAATGAATCATGCCTGAGAGCGCTAAATGTGCTTATAACTGACAGCATTCAGAAGCAAAATGAGTAACTATCACCAGCAATTGCATTATTTCTCAGTCTTTATGCCTTATTCATTTATCCATATTCTGTATATGTATATATGTAAAATAGGTTCGTTAGAGAACCTGTAAAATGAATCTGTAGACATTTTAGTGCTCCATAAAAAAGTAAACTAAGGTATTATTTTTGCTCAAATATGAAATGTTGAAATACAACTTGTCTCCAGTGTATGGTCTGAAGACACCTTAACATATACGTAGCAATCAACCTCAGATATCATGCTGATCTGAGTCCTGCCCCAATGCCTGGCCTTATGCACCCTCTATTTACCAAACAGCCTATTTGACTCCTTGTTCAACCCTAAATCTATAAGTTTACCTGCTGTAAGGGTCACTCTAATCTGTGAAGTCCTAGCTCAACTGTCAGTTAAATAGCTGGTTCAAATTAAAACAGGCTTTACAAAGACTTTCTTCGTGTTCTTTTGGCAAGTTTTAAAAAGTGAATAACACTAAAACTATCAGTAACTGTTTAAAGAGCAGCGGCTGCTAAAATACAAGTGTATGACTGCCTAATGTGGCTTCATGCTAAATGTCTTTCTACTTGCAAATAAATTTTTAAAAAAGTGCAATATCAAATTATTTCTAAAGAATTTGACTCAGTTTATCTTTCATATACGAAAGTTATTTCTTTACCATAAGTCAAATAATTCAAACTGAGTATGAATCACGCACCTGCAGCGTAAGGCAGACCAAAAATGTATCCCTATTCTCTCAGCCACAAAAACAATAAATTTCAAATGTGTTACTTTTTATTTGAGGTTTCTTTTTGTTCATGAGGAGGAAAAAGACAATAAAAGTTGACAGTTGTATTTCTGAACATCTTCAAAATGAATGGTTTTGATGAAAATAAAACCTAGGCAGCTCATAAAACCTGACACATGACGCAGTACTGTTAAGTTTTTATGAGCGAAAGTGACAAATAAAAGTAGACTTGCTAGCTGGAGATCAGATAACTTTGAGGAAACTATTTTTTCTCCTATTCAATTACAAGAAATTGGAATGGTTAAGTGTGAAAAAGGCTGCAAATAAGGGAACCCTGAAATAAACCTTTAAACTTGAGTTATAAAAACAAATTTGCAATGTTTATCAACCACCATAGAAAAAAACTGGCACTTAAAAAAAGTTGAAAACCTCCAAACCAAATAATTATTTTCCTTTCACAAATAGCCGGTTATTTAAAATTCTATGGCATTACATAATGGAAATGTCACATTATTATTCTAACATAATTATAACATCTGATCTTGACAATATAATTGAGGCAATAATTCTACTTTTTCTTTTAGCAACATTTTTATTGCACTTGTGCAGCTGCTGTCATCTCTGAGGAATACAAACATTCAGTAGTCCTCAAACAGAGAGAGAAAAAAAAACAATTTAAAGCACAGCAATAATCCAGTCACACAAAGGCTCAACTTAATCCTTTTTGTTTAAAGATTTCAACATGAGTGACACTGTTCTAGAAATTGATTCTTTTCAACCACAGCCAAAGCATTCAGAGCCGCATCTGTACTTACTGCTCATTTGCCTTTTGGGATACCTTTTGAAGTTTTCCCAATTTTGACATTTCATTTGTGAACATATTGTTTATTTCCCCCGACTTGGAAAATAGCAATTGTAATCTAAGAAACACAAGTGTCACTTTGTTGATAAAACCAATACATTGTTTTAGTTCCAAATGCATTAATTGAAGCTCAAATACCAAGTAATTCTGCGATTGAAAGTGGGTGGGCAGGATTGGTGTTGCAAATATTTTTAAGAATTTGATACATTTAGTTACAGAAGTATAAATGCTTGCACCACCCAAGTGGAACATATCCGACTGTTTGTTAAATTTTCCGTTCGACCACATACTTTGTAGCGTAAAAACTCACGTGTTTAGACCTCACGCTGTAACACAACTAACGGAAAGAAACAATTTACCAGCATGTCAAACGAATTAAAGTTACTTACATTATCTCGACCAAGACACAGGTATCGTTAAAATAGTAACTTTATTACCACTCACGCTTATCGCAAAACACACAAAACGAAACGTAAATCACGAAAAGTCATGAAATACAAACGGGAAATATATCTTGAACTGTAACAATTTCTACATACGTAAACCATTCTTTAAGTGCAAACGTTTAATGGAATAATTACCTTGAATTTGTACAGTCTTCATACAAAACATCAAACTCTTTAGGGGCGATAAGTTTACAGCGGTTGACTCCTGGTTGAATAGCCCCCAGTCCTCGAAGAATACGGACCTGCTCGACATTGCAGACGACGGGCGTGATTTCCAGTCTCTTCAGTTTGGTATAAACGGTGTGCAGCCCGCCGACAAGGTGTTTTAGGAACAAATCGAAAGCTTGGGGGAGACAAATGAGTTCCCGACCATCCACGTTGAAGGCGGCGACTTTGGCCCCTCGGTATTCGATCATCTTGCAGATATTGTTTTCGGGTTTGTTACTTGCGGTTGGGGGTGGGGTCCGCGGACTGGAATACAACGGGCCCGTGGGTCTCTCCAGCTTGTAAAGGAGAGTGTTCGATGTCGGTGGTAGCCCTGGGGTGACTTGGGCCGGTGGTGAGGCACGGGCGGGCAAAGGCTGTACGACTTCAGATGCGCTCTCCATCATTCTCGCTTCTCTAAAGTCATCCAAATGATCAGACACCGCATGTTGCTCCAAAATAAACAGCTGTCATTATACATACACCGGGCCGGTGATGAATAGTCCCGCAGAAGGAGGGCCTCAATTGAATGGTAATGTACACTTAAAAGCTCACCGAAAAGTACAAAAACGTCTGCACCACATAAAACAGTTTATCAAATGATAGAATTTTTAAAGTAGAGATGCGTATATTTCACATCTTTAAACATTAATGCATATTAGATCCATAAACATTTCGTGGAACCAATCGTGTCAGCAGTCATCCTACTTGCTGGTTGTTTAAGAAGTGTTTAACATTATACATTTGTGCGTTTAAATCCTTGGGGATTTCAACAAGAGAATTAAATGTGTTGTTTTAGCGATCTGAATATCTATAATAACTCGACAAAATGATTTCCCTTAATGCCAGACTAATTGCTATGTCTTATCCTATATGAAACGGAAACAACCGTTTCCTTGGCAAGTGCCCCCCCCCCTCCCCCTCCTTCTTTACACACACGCATAGTTAAGCGACTTAATTTTTTTTTGTTCTGCTTTGGAACATCTTCAAAACCCCGTATAACTCGCACCGCCCTTTTGATAAAACTGAGGATAGGCTTGAGAAATGGTACAAAAACTTTTTACTACTCCATTACAGACAAACGGCGCGATATTAGATTAAATAGTGGATACTTTTGAATGAAACTTATTAATTATTCATCTCACTCAGATTAGATTATGGTTTAGCTCGAAATAATGCTCTCTCTTTTTCTCTCTCTTAAGGCTCTTTTTTTCGTGAAAATATAAAGGCATCAACAGAAATTTCTCTTTAGTGGTGTTTCTGCCATTTTCCGACCAGTTTTCTTCGATTTTTCTTGGTAAAAGGTTTTCTTTAAAAGCTCTCTCTTACAAACAATATCCTGTGGAATTTGAATCTGCATCAGGTTCAGCAATATATTGTTTAATTTCCATAGTGATCAGCGCGTATCATTATGTGTTACTACGTAGTTTCTGGGACCTTGCAGTCAGAGAGAGATAGTGATTACAAAAAAGATCTCTCTAATCTATGAAGCAGCAAGTTTTAATTATAGATCATCGTCCACCAACAGCAAACTAATCAAATTGACATGAAATCCCAGCACCTGCTCATCATTGGAAAGTCCGTAAATGGCAATTTAGTCAGGTAATATCATTGATACAATTTTTATCCGGGCCATAAGAGACACAAGCAACTTGACTGATAACTCTTCTTTCTGTAAAACAAGTTGGCTCAAAGGAGGCGAGTAAAGTGTCTTGTATGCGAAAGTCAATTGAACCCTCACACTTCGGGTGGCAGGGTTCGATATCGCTCACGGGCGCATTTGTGCCAATTTTGATATTTGTTTTGATTTTGATTTAGCAAGTACAATTTACTTATCACTTTTTTTCAAGTCGTCAATAAAAGAATAAAGCATATTTGATCTCTTTATTCTGATTTTTTTCATTCTCGCATCTCCAGAAAAAGAAAGAACGCATATTTGGGTGGGTGAGTTTTAGTTTAAATTGACAGTGGTACCGTTTGGTTTCCAAGAAACGAAATGGTGATGCAAGCATTCTTCAAATTCTTACTATATAAATTGACAGACATGAGGGACGGGAAAAATTATAAGAAATACCACAGTTATCAATTACCCCGAAATGTTAACAGGCAGAGAGGTATGTCCCAAATGGTATAGAACTAACTGTGACTCTTTTTGTATATACTTAAAGCTCACGTGTGTATCTGAAATTATCCTTTTCCCGTCAGGATGGATGCGTAGGTAGAGTCGCTGCATCTTTAGCATGGAGGATATTCATATCTGCACTTTAGAGTGCAAAAACAGAGACAGATATCACTTTTTCTAAATCGAGAATTGTCAATAATGTGGTTCCATTGGTGGTTTTTCCCTTTTATTATTTCTTAGAATTTAAACGGACGTTACAGAACACACGGCGCTTTTTTTCTCGCTGACGACAGTTCGTTTACGTCAATTCCTTTCTTTTCTGCCTCAACAAGAGAGTAAACTCATTTTCCACACAAGTCATAAAGTTAAGACACTTTTTCATTTCCTGAGTAAATAGACATTACTATGTTCGTGCGGAGAATTCAATTTCGATTATTTATGGCCTAATATTACCAATGCGTCTACGCACATTATTTCATGCGAAATGAAACATTTCATGAAAATTTAGTAAGAGCTGGGATCAATAGCTGAGAAAAATAATGAAATGAGACGGAGAAATGGGTTGTCGATGCTTTACCTGTGGCATTGAACAAGGTCGGCGCCCACTTCACTTATTACATGTGCTTGCGCAGGTAAATGTGTGTATTTTCACGCCGGCGATTTGAACAACGCAATAATTGTATGACTATATGCTAAAAATTTCATAGCGTTATACATGACAATTGTGATGTTTAATTGATAGAAATATTTTTACACATTTGCGAACGAATGAAATTCTTTAAGATCTCTCTCTCTCTCTCTCTCTCTCTTTCTTTCTTTCTCTTTCTCTCTCTCTCTCTTTCTCTCTTCCCCTTTCCCTCTCTCTCTCGCAAAACACACGTCTATTAATACAAAAAAACTGCAATCATCTTATAATTCAAGACATGTATTTCTTTCAAAACAGACCATCTGTCTCATTTCTCGTCAACGCAATTTGCGCTTGACAAAGAAAGAAAATTAAATACAAGAAATTAGAATCGAATCGAAGAAAAGCACGTCTTCTTGTCGCATTGCGTGAGAGCCCTGCCAATCACGTATATTAAACTATTTAGACTTCGGCCGTAATTACAACAGCGATGACTTTCCTTCCTCTTCGTTTTATTTCATCCTGCTCTTTTACAACGCCTGAAACATCCTTTTTACTTATAACTGATAGTCTGATGAATCTTGTCAAAGCTGGCACTTGAAAGTTGTGTCAGCTTGATCAGATAAATCCCTTCTTCGAAAGTAGCAGTTTCTTACTTCTTAGATTATGGGCAAATTAATTGCTCTATACAAATTTGTCAGCCTTGATTGCATCCTTTGACATTTTATGTTCATGTATATAGTAAAAACATGACTTGATTGGTTCATTGACTTGATACATGCTTAACTAAATACATAAGAAGGAAGAAATAATTTCTTTTCATTACTTTGTTTCTATGTGTTCACAAGGAAAATCTCTTACTCAAATATGCATTTTTATCGTCATACAAAAATGATTAAATGAAGGACCAGTCATGGCATAGATATAAATCAACTCCAAAATTGATTAACGTGTTTACTATCACAATTTTATCTCTACAATTCTTTTATCCTCTCGGCTAATTGTTAAGTCGGCATATTCACAGAAGGGTCACTATCGTTAAGTTCCCTACACCTCGTAGGGAACGCGCGTGTCAACAAATTGTTTGGAGGGTCATTTTTCCCGGGTCACTCTCTGCTCTTCATTTACAAATTGATTCAAGTCATTTAACCTACCGTAGACGATACAATTAAGATGGATAAATACCGTATGCGCTCCGGCTCCCTAGTGTACCGGGGCATAGAAAGACGACGGTTATCGACCATTCGACAAATAAAGGTATTTCATTTTCTCTACAAGGTGTGGCGTAATCACCCAAAGTCAAGATATTGCCTATTAGAGATTTCTAACTACTCAGAATAATGTGAACATTCCATGAAATAGGGTCTTACTATGGCCTATCAAAGATTTCTAAATTTTCTTTTAATGTCGAAATTCCATGGAAAAGGACGATTTGGTGTCTCGTCTTCCACCTGCCCCAAGGCATTTGAAACCTTTCATCCCCTAATGTTACCATTCCCTCGTCGATTGCTGAACGAACGACAGCTATTTAATCGGAGATTTAGTTCTAATTAAAGGCATATTCGCAGGGTAAATACGCGCTATTCTATGTGATAACCTGTGTAAAACAAATTATGAATTCATCAAACAAATGACAGTCTGCCATGCACCACGCACATTTGATTCACTTTAAACAACAATCATCGAAAGAAGCCAACTTGTGGTAGATACATATTGCTTATACTGTGGGAGATACCATATGACACGAATAAAAAAAACAAATTGCGATTTATTTCCTACATCAAAAAGCATTCACTCACTGCAGCGACTCGTAAAATAATGTAAATAATTAGAGTATTGTGAAAAAAAGCAAACTGCCATTACATTAAAAATTAGCTGTTAGCAATAAGATATTTTCACCACACTTTTTTTCGTTTGTGAAATTGCAATAACATATTTAGAATATTACGACTGGATTAAAAAGACTGTTTGTTGGGTTTTGAATATCGAATAAAGAAGTGAAAATGATGGGTAGGTCTATCTATCACTGGCGCCATTGTCCGTTTTTGGTAAATGTACTTTCAACCTATCACTCACTGTTCGCATCAGTTTTAATTTAAAGAAATGTCCTATGAATACATATTTACAGACAATAACAGATCATAACTGTAAAGAGTAAAAAAGAACACCCTTTCTTGTACTGTACCCTAACGCAGTCTGTTCAGCACTGAAGCATTTTCCAGTTCATACTTTATCTAAATTTCCACTCGTAATGATGAGCCTTTGCTGGTTATTACGAATTTTCATTCATTTCAACAGCTACTGGTGTTTTAAAATATATTTTAGACAGAAAAATTACAGTCATGCGATTTAAATTAATACAAAACTTGATGATTTTTCCCCAAAAACTCTTGTGTCTTAAAGACTACTTCTTTTCTCTTGAAAGCATGCTCAGCGTAGAATTTTCATTATTTTAAAAGTGGCATAGTGGTATTCAAAAAGGAACTCACTTTATTTTGATTCAGAAACTTACTTCATGCTTATCCCAAAGGTACCGTGAAAATGGGCGATTCTGATGTTCTTGGAGTTTTATTGTTATCTTGTTCTCATAAATATGTTTCGCTTAATTTGCGGCTGTGTGTGTGTGCGTGTGTGTGTGTGTGTGTGTGTGTGTGAGAGAGAGAGAGAGAGAGAAAGAGAGAGAGAGAATAAATTAAAATAATAACAATCTTACAAATATCATAACAATTAAAAGTGTCATTCTTTTCATTATCATTATATTAAACTAACTAAGATCTTATTTTTCCCAAATGATAACGTATGTTTACATAAAAATAATATTGATATTTAGCTTTAATTTCATTCTCGACCTGGAGCTACTTTTGCGGCAACGAGGTGTTCTAATCAACTTAACGACCATGAAGACAACGCCCCCAGCAAAGACCTTCTGTTTGGAGTAAATTAGAGATGTGCTTTAATGTTTCTCTTTCTTCATCTTCATGTGTGTTTTTTCATCTTGCTTTTTGCTAAGTAGCACATTAATGATACACAGTTAATAGAAGAAACTCGTATCCTTCTGCAAAAACATCTGTCCAACACAGAATGATACATACTATTAATGGGAGATTTATGGTTCCATGGAAATCTTACTGGAAATTTCCTTTTGGTGCAATGATGATGATGCCTTTCTGTGTTGCCAGTGGACATGCAATCTCCAGTAAAAGACAGTCACTAAACAGTTTTTCAGTCATGTTATTACATTTTGCCACTGGTTCAACCGTATTAGAATCATGATAATGGTACCATCATATGGACCAAGGGCGCTGTTCTCAATCTTAATCAAGAGAGGGGGGGAGGGAGTTCATACGCCCAGGTCATTGCAAAGGGGGAAATTGGAAGCTCTTGACTGGTCGCTGTGACAGAATGTCTTGAATCAAGCTGTAGTGATATTTGTAATATATGCAACTCTGCAGGTACATGCAAGAAAATAGAGTGATCCTGTCATCTTCAGACGCAGCTTGGAGGTAAACCTCGGGGGCTCAATGAAATGTGCCAATTTATGTAGGGACTGCAAATTAACCTATTTTTTGTTTCATCTATTGCTGTTTTGTTATTATATGTCCATACAGTAGCGTATTTAAAGTGTCCCTGCGTTTATATATATTTCTGCATTATTGTGCATAAGAATGACAGGAATAAATTTTTGTTTTGCAGATTTGTATTTTCTTACGTTGTACAAAAATGGGCGATATAAAATATTTATTTTTGTACGAACATTCTATTAGTTTCATTATGCCTCAGAGTGACATTGAATTTATTTTCCAAATTCCAGAACAATATGTGTTTCCAGCGGAATGAAAACTCTTTTTGTAGGGTTTTATTAAAATGATTTTTTTTTCAAAAGTACGTGTACTCGAACACCGTCTAAGAGTTACAGCACTGAGTTTTGACAGGCCAAATTGACTATAGTAATTTGTTCGCTGTGACCCATAGGCCAGAGACAGGTTGCCCACCGTCCACCTCCTGTGGTCACTACACTCCCTGACCACTGCCCAATTACCGAATAAAATGCCCAAAAGGAAAATTATGGTTCTGATGAATGCACAGATAGTTTCGAGTTTGTTTTTCTGACTGATTCTTCCTATGAAGAATGGTGTTTATTTTGCCAATTTCTATGTGGAATACTCAGTCAAGTTGTCTGATTAGGCCACTTGAATGCAGGGTCATCCAGTAAAACAGACCGTCGTGGAATTATTTGTTGTTGATATAAAATTGCAATCTTAGATCTTAGTACGTTTGGTGCCTTGTGGAATGACCAATTTATATCCTAGATAAAGCAGACGACACAAGACATTTTACCCTCCTTAAGTAAACATTCAATGGTCCGTTTTATTCGAATTCTGTTTACCAAATTTGTGTTTGTCTTCACTGTGGAGCACTCATTTATTGTCTTGAATTGCAATAGATAAGTTATTTATCCGCCCATTAACCTGCCCATGCTATCCAGTGTTTGGATGAAAGAACTAGTGTAGTCGGCCATATAATCATCCGGGCCTGTGCCCATCCGTCAGACAGACATTGGCTATCAGTCTGTCTCCGTTTGATGGTTAATTTATCTCGACTACTGGATTTGACCATGTACCCCAAGGCGGCGTGTCACGAATGGGGGAGGCGAATTTACTGGCGACTACCCATGCATTCACCTAAGGTTTTGACCGCTAGTCAGACAAGCTAGATGTATCACACCAAGTCATTCTATATAGGGTTGTAGCGAGAATGATTAATTTCCCACTGCTGTATCACCCACCCCCACCCCACTAAAAATTAATTATAAAATGTAATGAATTATCATGAATTATGAAAATGATATGGTTGCCTAGGGTCCTTCAATTTTTTTTTCACAAACATTTACCAGTTTGCCTGTTTTCAAATATATGTTGGATTTAATTTTTTTAGGAATTTTGAAAATACAATTCTATAAGTGCAGACACGTTCAAAACGAAGAAATTCATGCGCGTCCACATTTAATTTTGAATTGCAATAGATAAGTTATTTATTATGACTCCTGTCATGTAAGTTGTTTTTCGGAAATGTTGAATTTCTTTAGAAGTAGTATATCTAGCATTTCGACAACAGTTTATTTCAACAGCCAGAGATACGCTATCTGGAACCGCCCAACTTATCCATATGTCCCGCTTTTTTTTCTTTTTCCCCATCAACTCTTTGTTTGTGGCATTGAATATTGCAAAAAAAAAAAAAGATGATTATAAACAGGGCAGCTATTACATTACATAGATGATTGCAGGTGAAAAAACAATACTGAAGTACATACAGATGCAAACCTTTTAGTCCTAGATACCTGACAACAATATCCTGAGTGGAAACTTTCGGTTTGTGTAACCCGAGGAATACTGTATCAACCATTAAAACTAATGCTATGTATAAATAGAAACAAAATACATTTGTCTAACTCAAGGGGATTCTGTTTTCATAGTTGAATAATTTTGCCATGACAAAAACAGAAGGCACTTGCGGTAGATTAATGAGAGCGCTGAAAAAATAAACTCTTAGGATTTGGTTAATTCGATAGGGAGTGCACTAAAAACAGCATGTTTGACAGTGATAAAACTAAAGGTGTGCAAGAACTTCTTTTAGACTTACTTTGCGCTTTACTTAGTACAAGATTAGACCTGCTAATTATGCAATCGGCATCACATCTTCAACCTACACGTTTTTTTTATTAACAAACCAACATAGTTTCGTTTGGTTAATGTTGAAAATATCTATTTCATGCTTTTCTCCAAATATTATGTTACACAAAGTGTATAGATTGTCTTGCGACAGAGATTGTGGCCGCGGATTCAGAAAAAAAATCACCCACCAGGTATTGTGCCTGATCTGTGGATAATGATAGTGCGAGTCTGTTGAACAATTTTTCCCGATTGTAATGTAGGCCCTTGCCTATCTTGTCTGTTATATAACGCTATACAACAGACTGATTGACTAAAGCCCTGCAGGTCTGGTTACAGACGTCCACGACACCTACTGCTCTGCCATAATATACTTTACATCCACAGGATGGCAGCGTCATATCAGTTAATACAGTTTCCACAATAATAATAGCGAAAAGACTTTGGAACATCCATTCGTAATTGTACTACTTCTTTGGGTGTTTTGCAAAATCGCATTTCAATTCGAAATAGTTTTTTTTTTTTTTTTTTTTTTTTTGCTGTAAAAAGGTGAAACAGCATCATTTTGGTTGGAAGTTAAGTTAAAATATAATGGGCAAAAAACCAATAGAAAAGAAACGGAGTAATAGAAGTTAGAGACGGCAAAAAATGTACCTATGGCAACATTAGTTACATGTAAGTATACTCAGATACAAACATTTAATATCCTAATCCCGAATAGCTGCGGTGTCGATCAACTATCTTCAAAAGCGGCAGTAATGTGTAACAAAACACATCTGTAACCAGAGAGTAGCGTAAGTGCTCTTAATAATGTACGATCTTTGTGCTTGAATACTTCTCACAAGAATAGAATAAATATCTGAAAATGGAGACTTCTTTTAGAGTACGAGTTTCTTAAGTGGGTTTTCTACTTCTGGAGTTGTTGTCAATAGAATGATTCCCCTGATGAAAGATGGCGAACACCAGCGATTTTTTATTATTCATTTAAACAATTCAAATCGACGTCAACTGAAGATCACAGTCATGCAGAAAAAATGACAAGGACTCTACGACGTTCTCGTCGCTATCTGAAACGTTTTCTATCCCGCTGTCTAGCCTTCAAAATGGTTGTAATTTATAATCATAAACAATTAAGAATTCTTTAAAAAGTGAATTGTGGAAAGACAAATATCGGCAAAAAATGGGTCAGATATTGATATTTGGCGCAGTGTGGCATTGATGGCAATGCTTTTTTCGTTGCACCATTCCACGGAGAATTGATGCGCATTGATGGAAATAAAAGGTAAATTCATTCATGGTTCAACTATTTCTACATACTTAAGAAAACAACGAATTAAATTACCTGTTGCATCATTCTTTATCGTTTATCTAAAGAGAGATACTTATGAGAACTCGCAGCTGAAAAATACCAGTTTCATTTATTTAATTTCCCTTTGAATAGGACAGTGACATCGCTTTGTAAACACTGACTATTACTATAACTTCATATGTACCAACATTTATACCATTTAGTGAAATTAGTGTGATTGGTAATTGAGATTTTTTTGTCTACAGAAAGTTACCACAGTGGTCGCCACTGTGCTTGTGACGAAGGATCGAAACCACTGAAAATAACACAATCGGTTGAGAGGAGCACAATCACAATCATGGCATTCACTCTTACTCATCCTGTCAGCGAGCTTTCATTCAACAGAGTCCCGTCATTTGACAGAAAGCAGAATGGACACAAACATCTTTATGAATAAATCATTTAAAAAGGGTTATATTGAAGAGATGTTTAATTATGGTGGAACCAATGGTTTTCTTTGCAATACCCAATTGATTTCTTTTTACTCAAACTGTACACCATCTGTCCTCAACATCTTTACCCCAGCACTTATTCCAACATTTTCATCGAACAATCTTTTTTGTTATTAAAGTTCTGCCATTTGAAATACATATCTTTGACACAGAAGGTTATGAAGCATCAATATTAAATGTAACAGGAATGTCTTTAAGCAAATCAGTCCATATATTAACACTGCAGTCTGTTCTAGTTGCTAAATCCTGAATTGTTTTCCTTACAGCTAGTGCAGTGTGCGGGTGTTCACAGAGGCCTTGAAAACACTGCTTTAACTTCGTGTATGAGAAGTCCTCAGTATCCTGTGACTTGAGGCTAAAAAACAACAAAGACTAATTTAATAGGGCATATATAAATTACAAGTAAAAAAAAAACTGTAGAAAATTTATCAACATCCTCATGCATACACAAAACGTAAGAAAAATAAGGATAAAAATTGCATATATTTAACCAGGTGAGGTACTCTGATGAATAAGACTTGACATTACAAAAAAAGCTAACTAACAACTGATGAACTTATGCATTGTCATGCAGTCGCTTAGATAACTCATTTTTTTCCAAAATACACTTTTATCTTCAAATACACAAATTCCACTTTCAAAACTCAACTGTAACCAGTCGCGTTGCAGTTCCCTACCTCCATGTGTATCCTGCTTTCCCCATGTCATCATAAACTATTACCATTGACTGTGCCCACTGTGTCAGGTGATCCATATACCTAGTGTAGAAGCTGAAGTACACAAAGGCCACTTGGCACAGCAGACTGGGGGGCACTTGCCAAATGGGCTTCAGCAAACTACAATAATATCAATTCAAGACATTGAATTAAAGTGATTTTTGTGATTTTCTTATAAAATCATATCATACAAATTCAATATCAGAGAGGAACTTTTGCCATGGGTTTATTTATAAGTAATTTAACAAAAAGTGTGTGTGCATGATTATGCCAGCTCCTTGAACAAGATTATTGTTTATGTGCATATTCTCACTTTCCTGCCAGCTGTCTGAATAAACTCATCAGGGAAAAACTTAGCACTTGGGGAAAATTACAGAATTTCTGCTAAAACTTCTCCTTTAAAAATACCTGGATAACATTCAGCAAATGGCAATAAATCACTACAAATGTTCCATGTCATGTACCTTGACCTTGGGTGTGTCCCGTCTTTGTCTACACATGTGTTTAACACCCACTGCAGGACAAACTGGCGCAACTCACTGCTGCCCTCTGCAGGGGACACTTCTCCATCATCTGTTATGAGTACAGTCAGCAAAATATCCTTGATGGCCAAACAGTAATAAATTAGGAATAAAATATTTTAAATGAATGTCAGGAGATATATGCATAACAAGAGTAATTGATATGCATGCCATATTACATATTTGACATAAATTCATGTCATTAACTCTTACTGTTTTTCTTTATACCGTTTTATTCAATGAATAAGTGATAAACATGATCACTCCAATCAAAATATAATTCAGTAACAGTAAACAGGCTTATTACTCATCAAATTCAGCTTACCAAGCCATATTCCTCCATTAAAGCACTGGTCAAAATTATTTCTGTATGGCTCACTGCCCTGCAAAGAAATAAAATTCACTAACCACAATTTTAATAGCAACTTTCCTATTACAAAAAAATTTATAAAAAACCAAATCAAAATCAGGTTGAAACTTCAAAACTTGAATGCAAACCAAAAGTCTCCCTCCATCCCCCCAACTGCTCATTCAAGCCCATTCTTGTTGAGGGAGGCAGTCTAATTATCACAGATAATGGAGAATTACATACAAAGTGTGTAGTGCCTTACTTGTCCCTCCTGTGGCAGTTAATCCAGACCTTTCTGATATGCCTTAAGAGTAAGCATGCCTGTGTTTGGACACTTGTTGACCTCCAATGCTGATCAATTTCACCGCTTTGTTGGGCACTGTTCACCAATTCTTTCAGCTGCATTGCCTGCTGCAGGGATGACTTGGTCTCACTGAGTTCAGAGAGTAACTAAAATGTGGTTTTAATGGTAATATTGAAGTATAGTCAACATGACATAGTTGTAAAATCAAATATAAATATATAACAGTTTATAAATCTTGCAAAAAGAAATCTACATCTTAAATAATCTAAATTAACAATGTGTATCTGTGATGTTATTTTTTACCTAAAACTCCATATAACAGAGGAATTAATTTCAACTTGCACTTACAGACAAAATATCACAGGCAGATGACCCATCATTCCCAACAGACAAAATTCTGCTGAGCAGCTGGTCTGATAGCTGGGGATTCTGAACAAGGGACTACAATAAATTGAGAGACATCTTATGAAATAAAGATTAAGTACTCAATACAAGGCCAGTGCAGAGAGTATGACTGCGAATAAAATGCAATGCAATTTGCAATTGCCAAAAAGTTCATATACAGGGTTAAGCAAGAAAAAATAAGAAATTAGGCATAGAAGGGAGATGTAACTTGTGCGAAGTTTTGTGCAACAGCAACAACAACAACAATAAATAAATAAATAAATAAATAAATCACTTCATATTATACTGATGACAAGCATCCATGTTTTCCATCAGAAGAACTACCTTTATAAGCACTGGTGTAGCCTTTCTTAGTAATTCTAGGTTAATCTCCAGATCTCCTAGTTTTAATGGAAGTTTTCCAAGTTGCTTCACTTGCTGGTTCAAATCTTCTCTATAAGGCTTGCACTGTGCCTGAGTATACACCTGCGATTAAGATTTTATGAAAAAGTTACCATTTTAAGGGGTTAAACATATGAAATACTGCATGTATGGTAATTATTTCAATTTTCATTCAGTTCATGAGTATCTTTTTATGTTAATCAATTGGTCATGGTTTAATATGTATGGCATTATGTGAATATGTCAATACATATTAAGAGGGATGTGGTTAAATATAAATAAATAGATTTATTAACTTAGCCAGCATGACATCCCTTAGCACAAGTATTCATGCATTAGCAATGCAATTTACATCTTCTTTTCTTTCAAAATGTATATACTGAGTACCACATGATACCAGTGCTAATCATAATCAATGGGTGCATTTTTCTGTGAGGCACCCACCTGTTCCTTTACTGGAAGGAAAGATGAAGGATTGATGTCTTAAAAACTGGATAATTGGATTTATTCAGAAAGTATGTAAACTGTGTACCTGTTCACAGTAGGTTGCCCACTGTAAAGCATTCTCCAAGGCCTGCTGGTCCCATGTCTCAACATCAGGTGATCGAGCACTTTGTAACACTTCCAAAAATGAGTAGATATTCTTCAGAATGGTCTTCAAGGACATTGGGGTGTTGAAGTTGGTGACAATGAGAGAGACTTGATTATTGTTTCCAAAGCAGAACTGTATTCTTCAGGGACATCTTCCAATACGTTTTAATTTCGGTTCTTGCTGCAAATAACTTTTTTGTGTCTACGCCGATGAGGCCCTGAAATGTAAACAAACTCAGATTCAGAACAACTGTCTTCGCCGCTAAGTAGGTTCCAGCTTGTTGTGAGTTTGCAGTTGAAGTTGTAAAAGTTGCGGTACTTTGCACCGTGGCTGTTGCACTGTCACTGTCCAAACCACAAAGCAGCAAAAACAAAGGCAGATAACTTATGAAGAACTAACCACAGATAGGTACGGCATAAAATCAAAACTTTACCTATGAGTTACTTACAAGTATGAGGACAGACAACGCGTTCAAACGTAATAAAGTGTTTTTGTTTTCAACCTGCGCGGCTTCACTAGCTCTTTTGTACTAGGAGGTACTAAGGTGTTCACCCAAGAGGAAATTTATAGATTCGTGATTTCAATCAAATGAAAGGCAAGTATTTGGACAGCTTGATAAAGCTGATAATAATAAATCTTTTATATTACATTTATTTCTGTCTGGTTCATTTATTGTGTAAGCTTTATCTTAATTTTCTAGCTCATCTTGTTATTGCCTCGTAGTGAAATTGTACACAAAACGAACAGCAGAAATGAAAACTGACTNGTAATTCAGTAACAGTAAACAGGCCTATTACTCATCAAACTCAGCTTACCAAGCCATATTCCTCCATTAAAGCACTGGTCAAAATTATTTCTGTATGGCTCACTGCCCTGCAAAGAAATAAAATTCACTAACCACAATTTTAATAGCAACTTTCCTATTACAAAAAAATTTATAAAAAACCAAATCAAAATCAGGCTGAAACTTCAAAACTTGAATGCAAACCAAAAGTCTCCCTCCATCCCCCCAACTGCTCATTCAAGCCCATTCTTGTTGAGGGAGGCAGTCTAATTATCACAGATAATATAATGGAGAATTACATACAAAGTGTGTAGTGCCTTACTTGTCCCTCCTGTGGCAGTTAATCCAGACCTTTCTGATATGCCTTAAGAGTAAGCATGCCTGTGTTTGGACACTTGTTGACCTCCAATGCTGATCAATTTCACCGCTTTGTTGGGCACTGTTCACCAATTCTTTCAGCTGCATTGCCTGCTGCAGGGATGACTTGGTCTCACTGAGTTCAGAGAGTAACTAAAATGTGGTTTTAATGGTAATATTGAAGTATAGTCAACATGACATAGTTGTAAAATCAAATATAAATATATAACAGTTTATAAATCTTGCAAAAAGAAATCTACATCTTAAATAATCTAAATTAACAATGTGTATCTGTGATGTTATTTTTTACCTAAAACTCCATATAAAAGAGGAATTAATTTCAACTTGCACTTACAGACAAAATATCACAGGCAGATGACCCATAATTCCCAACAGACAAAATTCTGCTGAGCAGCTGGTCTGATAGCTGGGGATTCTGAACAAGGGACTACAATAAATTGAGAGACATCTTATGAAATAAAGATTAAGTACTCAATACAAGGCCAGTGCAGAGAGTATGACTGCGAATAAAATGCAATGCAATTTGCAATTGCCAACAAGTTCATATACAGGGTTAAGCAAGAAAAAATAAGAAATTAGGCATAGAAGGGAGATGTAACTTGTGCAAAGTTTTGTGCAACAACAACAACAATAAATAAATAAATAAATAAATAAATAAATAAATAAATAAATCACTTCATATTATACTGATGACAAGCATCCATGTTTTCCATCAGAAGAACTACCTTTATAAGCACTGGTGTAGCCTTTCTTAGTAATTCTAGGTTAATCTCCAGATCTCCTAGTTTTAATGGAAGTTTTCCAAGTTGCTGCACTTGCTGGTTCAGATCTTCTCTATAAGGCTTGCACTGTGCCTGAGTATACACCTGCGATTAAGATTTTATGAAAAAGTTACCATTTTAAGGGGTTAAACATATGAAATACCACATGTATGGTAATTATTTCAATTTTCATTCAGTTCATGAGTATCTTTTTATGTTAATCAATTGGTCATGGTTTAATATGTATGGCATTTAGTGAATATGTCAATACATATTAAGAGGGATGTGGTTAAATATAAATAAATAAATTTATTAACTTAGCCAGCATGACATCCCTTAGCACAAGTATTCATGCATTAGCAATGCAATTTACATCTTCTTTTCTTTCAAAATGTATATACTGAGTACCACATGATACCAGTGCTAATCATAATCAATGGGTGCATTTTTCTGCGAGGCACCCATCTGTTCCTTTACTGGAAGGAAAGATGAAGCATTGATGTCTTAAAAACTGGATAATTGGATTTATTCAGAAAGTATGTAAACTGTGTACCTGTTCACAGTAGGTTGCCCACTGTAAAGCATTCTCCAAGGCCTGCTGGTCCCATGTCTCAACATCAGGTGATCGAGCACTTCGTAACACTTCCAAAAATGAGTAGATATTCTTCAGAATAGTCTTCAAGGACATTGGGTGACAATGAGAGAGACTTGATTATTGTTTCCAAAGCAGAACTGTATTCTTCAGGGACATCTTCCAATACGTTTTAATTTCGGTTCTTGCTGCAAATAACTTTTTTGTGTCTACGCCGATGAGGCCCTGAAATGTAAACAAACTCAGATTCAGAACAACTGTCTTCGCCGCTAAGTGGGTTCCAGCTTGTTGTGAGTTTGCAGTTGAAGTTAGTTGTAAAAGTTGCACCGTGGCTGTTGCACTGTCACTGTCCAAACCACAAAGGCAGATAACTTATGAAGAACTAACCACAGATAGGTACGGCATAAAATCAAAACTTTACCTATGAGTTACTTACAAGTATGAGGACAGACAACGCGTTCAAACGTAATAAAGTGTTTTTGTTTTCAACCTGCGCGGCTTCACCAGCTCTTTTGCACTAGGAGGGACTAAGGTGTTCACCCAAGAAGAAATTTATAGATTCGTGATTTCAATCAAATGAAACACAAGTATTTGGACAGCTTGATAAAGCTGATAATAATAAATCTTTTATATTACATTTATCTCTGTCTGGTTCATTTATTGTGTAAGCTTTATCTTAATTTTCTAGCTCATCTTGTTATTGCCTCGTAGTGAAATTGTACACAAAACGAACAGCAGAAATGAAAACTGACGACTGAAATATTTTGTCATAGGAGTAACAGAGAAGCTAACGTGTAATATGCGGTTGTTTTACTTTTTTAGAAATCTCTCTCTCTCTCTCTCTCTCTCTCTCTCTCTCTCTCTCTCTCTCTCTCTCTCTCTCATATTATGCAGTTTTATGTGAAAAATGCAAACTTCATCTGAATCTGTAGTTTAATTTATAGGCTCAACTAATGTAATCCACGGGTGGACTTCTGAAATATGGCATTTCAGAGAGAACTTGATGATATGGCTAAAGCCAAACTTGGTGATTTAATAGCACGTCAGAAGAATGTTGGGGGTAAAAGTGTCACCAATGATTTAAAAATGAATTATGAACTGGAAGAACAGACTGCAGAAAACCTCACCAGAAAAGAACAAGTTGCTGCAATGAAATCAGTTATTCTTCAAAAAGCACTTGAAAAAACAGACGGTTTGAATGTCTACAGGGGCCCAGTTTCAGCCCACAACATTCATTCAGAACACAGCAATCAAGTGATTGCACTTACCTGTGATAGGGAAGTTGCCTCCTGGTTGAGAACCCTGCACCTTCAGAATGCTGAGAAATATCTGAAGATTTTTGCAGAGCATGAGATAGACATGCAGAGTTTGAAGTTGTTAAGGGAGAGAGATCTGAGAAGCATGGGGATTACTGCAGTGGGAGCCACCAGTAAGATTCTCTTTGCTATAAAAGAATTACAAGGAGAAGATTTTAAGAGTCCAGTTTATTCTACAAATAATGTTAGTGAGATGGATTTTGCCAGAGATGTTGCTGGGGTCAGTAGACAAGATAAAAGGAGTCAACAGAGGAAAAGGAAAGGTCCTTCTGCCAATATACAAAATGCCTTACAAGATCAATCATGTAAGTAGGGCTAGGACTTTATTTGCCATATGATACAGTCACTATCAAGTATGGTGTAAACTCTATTGATTAAGGTTTGCCCCATTGGTGTTAGCTGTATGCTCACTCGTAAGAAAATTATGGTTCAGTTAGCATTTAGAAAATGATGTCAGAACTGATAAGAAAAAGAGTACCTGGACAAACTTGGTGAGTTGGTTTACCAAAGCACTTCCCAGAGCAGGTATAAAGTGCACAATTTGCTTGTTAGAGAATATTCCATACCCATCCTATTACATGTACTCAAAAATATTGAAGACTTCATACCAAGGTCACATAACCAATATCTTGATCTTATTATTTAAGGTTTGAACCATGGATCCAAGGTGGCAGATCAGAGTGAAGCACAGAGACAACAGATTCTGATGGCAGCTAGAAAAAATGCCCGTGACAAGTTGGCTGCTAGACATGTGGCAAGGATGAAAGGAGAAGTGCAGGTTATTATACTGATCTTTGATGTTATTGAAATGCTAGTCAGTAAATTAGTGAGTAGGTGGGTGGATAAATGAGTGATAGTTTTTGGGGATGTAGCAGAAAGAGTAAGAGGAAGAGAATGCAGAATATTGTATGGAGAGTTAAGGCCCAGTCACAAATCAGTTGCGATGCGTCGGGGATGGGTAAAACCCGGGAAATTTGAACAAAATCTTGAGACAGATCTCACAATTTTGCACCCGTCGGCGGCGCTCTCCGGACGCCTGCGGGTTTTTGCAGATTTTTTAGACATCGCCACACCCGTCGCATTCCCCAACTTTGAAATTAAAATTTTAAGATTGCTCGCAAGATTTTTCACCCATTTTGGGCATTCCATACACAATCTCCGATGACCTACGATGCCCTCCGATTAATCGGAGGCGTCCTCCGAATAATCTGAATAATTCCCCCACATATACCCAGGGGGAAAAAAATTACAAGAAAAGACGCTCGCAGATATCATCTCCGATCGCCTCCGAGGCTAATCCCACGATTTTTCGACAAAACCGGGTCAGAATCCTTGAAAAAATCTCAGACAATGTGACTGCTCCACTTTTATTAGGATTATTGCTAGGATTGTTCAAGGATTCTTTATTTTCTACGATGACCCCCGGCCAAAACTAATCCCCGACAGATCGCCGACATTGTGACTGGGCCTTTAATTAGTTCATTCATAAAATGAGCCGAAAATATTAAAATAAAATCAGATGGTTAGCCGAGTAGAAAAAATTATGAGAAAGGTTTAAACACAAGCATGGAATGATTATTTGATATGTACTACAAATCTTGTGCAATTCCACTGTAACAGTTCAGATGGCCATAATGAGTTGTATCATTCTGTGTTTTAGGAAGAAGAAGCTGCTAGGAAAGAAGCCTTAGTAAAGTGGGGCAGTCACCAGAAAAATGGCCAAAGTGTGCGGCAGGTCCTCAAAGAAGTATCAAAAAATGCAGAACTAAGAAAAGGTATCACTTTGTCAGTGTACATGTATATACTAAGTTCATACTGTCTATTGTTTTGCCAAATAGTGTAAATATATCTGTTAATCCAAACTGTTACGATTATATCATAAATAATCGTTTGAATAATGTATAGTGATTTTTCTGTAGTTAATTTAAAAGTATACACCATACACCAGATAAGTAACTACATGTAGCTTTGACTTAATATGCCTATTTTTTAAATGAATACTCCACTATCTTTCTTTCTTTATATATCTATTTTAGTTAAAAAATTGTCTCTGTTGTTATCTTGTAGGTTCTTGTTTGAGTAAAAAACCACCAGCTCCTGATGTACAGCCAAAAGCTAATGATGTAAACAGACAAAAGATGGAAAAGCTTAAACCAGCAAGAAGAAAAAGGTCAATGCCTGATACAAGGAACTTTCTTCAAGTCCCCAAGGAAGCAGATGGAAGTATGATGAATACCAGTAAAATTTAAACACCATTTTTTTCAAACATTTTATTATTGTAAGATATATTTATTTTAAAGTATACTTAATAAATACTTACTTTCTGACCTGGACCCAACTCACTATTTTAAGTTATTTAATCAAAATTTAAGGAATTAAAGAGGAAGGTATGTGATAGTTTTTCAAATTTGTTTAAAGCTTTAAAATAATTACTATTCATATTTCAGGTGGAGGTAATAGGGCAGATAATGCTGAACTAAAGGCAGGAGCAGCACAAAACAAAAAATGTGATCGTTTACGAAGAGCATCCCTACAGGCAGAAGATATGCTGATTCAGTTGGAATCTAAGGTAAAAAAACATTACAGTTATATTTGTTACACCATCACACACATTGAAATAATACAAAATACTCCTTTTTAAAAGGGGAAATTTAACTGTGAGACATGTTCAAGTGAATCATTGTGTGTTAAATTTTGTTATATTTATATTTATATTTAAGATGGGAGAACTGCAGCACAGAGCCTCAATGGACATGTCTGTATCGGAGCAAACTCTGGATGTCTTACAGCAGCAACTGGCCCAGCTACAGGAACACTATAAAGAAAAACAGCAAAGGATTCAGCAAAGAGAACAACAGAAAGTAAACCAAGAAGGACAAGAGGATGATGAGTCACCTGGAACTCGGGGACAACAACTACAGCACACTAGTTATGATCTGCAGCATGCATTGCAGTATCAGCAGCAGCAATTGAAACCTTCCCAGTATGAAGAGAACAGTCAACGACAGCATGAACAGGTTTATCAGCAAAAACTAAAGCATTCTCTTGGCAGTGAGCTTACCTATGAGCCACATTGCCCTCCACAACAAAATCAGCAGCTCTGGGCTATACCAAGTGACAAATTATATCAGCATGGTCCAGAGACAAATGCTGCTCTGAGAGTCACCTCAAATTACTTGGGTCAGTCTGCTGATACAGTAAGCATTAATCACCCCCCTGCACTGTCAGAGAGAGGACTCGTTATAAAGCAAGAGCTTCTGGAGAATATGAGGAAACAGAAGGAGAAACAGAGGGAGGAAATAAAGTAAGTTTAATTTCTTCATTTGACTATATTTGACAGATCTTAGGTGTCAAAAAATATTGGTTATGATGACATGTTTTAATATATTTAAATATTGGGAAATAATAAACAATCACAAAAAATCAGTATTTTATTTCAAACATCCTTTATAATCATTAAATACATTTTCAAGATATTTGATGGGTAAAAATATAAGTTTAGTAAGTTGCGTTTAAGACTGCACGTTTCCCTTTTTGCTATTCAGAAACGTAAACCACACGGTGAGTTACAATAAAAAATTTCAAAGAATAACAAACCATAAAACTCATGGTTTTTATATTTGGAAAATAGAATTATAAATTCTACAAAGGGAATTTACCAGATGTTCATAATTCTATTCACTGATACTTCTTTTCACATCATTTGTGAACATAATCTCATCATTGGTTCCCTGAAGAATGTGACAACTGTGAATACCCCCAGTCCCCTCAAAGCACTCTCTGCAGAGTTCAAACCCCCCACACTGCATGCAGCTATAATGAGGCTCTGGCATATCTATCAAGCAGACTTCACACCAGTGGCTGGTCAAATCAATGGACATGGACAGCTCATTAATAACATCATCAAAATCTGCCCCAGGAAGGTAATAATTTCCAATAAAAGAACACTGGGTGGATGCATTGTGACAGGACTTGGTGTTTTGATAATTCATGTTGCTGCCATTTATGTTGTTATTGTCATAGGTCTGTACACTGGCATGTTTAAGAGATGTGAGACCAATAGTTCCTCTACAGAAGGTACACACATGATAATCTTCACTACAACAGATATTGCTTATACTACAGGTACTTATATTGTCAGCATGTGTGTGGCCAGTGCCGTCCATTTTCACGATAGTTTGGTTTATATGAGACCTGATGGATGGATCTCTGGCTGGGATCCAGTTTGAGTTGTACTGATACGTAGGTACATGTAATTCAGTTTTAGTAGGGGAGGCCATCCCATGCTGAGTGGATTTGTCATTATGCTTCTCAACTCTTTGATCTGTAGGAGGGCCATCTATCGGATATTTTCTGGCAGGGTCCTCTCCTTGAAATTTTGAGGACTGTTGCTGGTCTGAGAACATTTCATCTTGTGTAACGTTGTCAGGGGGTGGCGTGACCACTATACGAGGTATGAGAGACATGGTGTGCTTTACTGTTTGCGACTCAATGGCGGACTGAATAGAGCACTCACTAGAACTTCGGCTGCAAGTTCTCTCTCTTTGGCTCCCCAAAGTTTGTTTTTGTTTCTGTTCATCGTAGTGTAGACCTAGAGTCGCCCTGTCACCAGGTACATTCTGTGGCCATGTTCTTTGACTGGTGTTTTGATATGATTGATCTGCTGATTTCTCCTCAAAGCCTATGGTATGGTCTTCATTGAGAAGACCATCATTGATGGGAATGGTATGGGAGTGCTTGTTTTCATCATTTTGCTGTGCACAGGCTGAAGCATAATAGATAGAATTCTCCCCATCACTTGAAGATTCTCTCTTCTTAAACTCTTCCCAGTTTGGATTCCAAATCACATGCCCATCGTCATTGAGCTGACTGGACTTGAAGGGCTTTGTGTGACCTTGGTCATCATCAGAGCGGGACATTTTGTGACCAGCCCCTCCTGCCTTGGACCAGTGAAGAATGACTGTAACTCCACCATTGTCCTCTGCATGTATTTTCCAATTTATCAGTTGCTTTTCATCATTGAAATATGCCAAACTGGCTTCCAGTGGCTTGGGGAGATCCAGTACTATCATTGTCAATATGTCCCTGTTGTTATAAAAGAGATTTGGATTTTTTTTTTACTCCTTTCTTTTGAAGACTAAATGTCCAGTCAAGAAAAGTAATACAGTTTTAGCAAATAAACCAGCATGAATCACCTACACTGTACCAAATTTTGTTTTGTTCTAATAAGTGAATGTTGTTGTAACAGCTGTACACAACTTTCAAACACATTTTGTTTCTTACACGTAATGCCTTCATATATCCAATATTCGATTTCTGTTCTCTTTGATTAGACTGAGTATTATCTAGGTGTTGTAAACAACCCTGGAATTATTACACTTTACACAGTCCAGTGCTTAAATAGGGTTAAGTTATGTAATAGCCTTTGATTGTTGAAATTTGCACCCATGTAAGTTGTCAATATTATGTTTTGTTGAATATATATTATGTCACAAAATCTATTGTTGCCTGACCAAACAGTAAGGGGATAGGTTAGGGGAAGGTGTTTTGATTTGCAAAACAACAATGCTTATACAAAGCATTTGCTCATACAAAGCTACCGTTTTGAAAAAGGAAGGTAGCACTAAATTCCTGTACTGTGTATTAAAGATATTAAAAAAAAATTAAAGTGTATAATTAGAGCGTGTGCCTAATATGAAATGGCAACATCTTTTGAGGAGCACTGTTTTCATTTGACATTTGCTCGTAGCATCTTTAAAAAGAGGTATATTTTGAATGTTACTTGCATATTTTTATGTATCATTTATTTTAACCTGTGCACCAGTTATTTTCATAGTATTTTATTTAAATGAGCAAGTAGAACAAACTTGTGCTAATTTTGCACAGCTGTGAAAACTAAACTTTATGGATATATTGTGAATGAAACTGTTATGCAATGGGGCAAATTCTTTCACTCTATTTGTTTTATTTTGTAGGTATCTAGAGGACCAGCTCAGTCAAATGAAGTACAGGGACAGAGTTAATCATAATGAAATACCTAAAGGAGACATTTTATTTGATGAAGCAGGTGATATTTGCATCTCAAAAAAAGTTTATTATTCACAACTTGATAGCTATTGTGGTTGATGATTATTTCTCTCAAGTTTATTTGTATTTGAATACAATCTTACAATTCTAAAATGCATGGATTTTTTCATTTAAAGTGCAATAACATTGCTGTGATTCCTATGTTTTATCATATAGCTTTTATGTTTAGGAAAAGATAAAGTCATTTTGTAAACACACTTAACATGAAAAATCAATTCAATAAATGTGCCCATTAAAATTTATGGTTTTAATTTTTAAAATTTTTGAGTCAAGGGAAAATTCTAAAGCAGGATCATGTTTGAGTAAAAAAAGACTTGTCATGGTCCATTTATAGAACTGTTTTACCAAATATTTAGGGAATGCATTGAAAAAAAACTGGTTAAATATGTGTATAATATGTGTATATTTGTGGTGCTTCAGATCTGCTAGGAGAGGGCACTTTCTGCCAAGTGTTTAGAGGGACATACAGGAACTCTGAGGTGGCTGTGAAGAGACTGCAGGTGCCCCTGGCAGCACAGGACAGGAATTATTTTACTGCTGAGGTGTTTAGTCTTATTATTTTTTTTTTTCAGTAAATTTTCTATAAATTTTTTATGCTAAATAAATGTCAAATTATGGCACTGCTGATACGTAATTAGTAATTGTCACATTGTTTGTAAAATAATTGTTCAGTGATTAAAATAAGAAATTTGACAAAGGATGAGAGTTTTTACTTTGACATAATGAATTAGTGTAGACATTTTAAGAAACTGGCTATCTAAATTATATAAAATTTGTGAAAGTTTACAAGGATTAAATGTCAATGAATTATCTTGGTCCAGTTTTCTCTGCATCAACAATACACAGCAATTTCATCTGGTGCCATAATTATTAATCCAGCTCTATATATAATTAGGTGAACTTACTTCAAGAATTGCGTCACCCCAGAGTGGTTCTCCTCCTTGGTGCCAGCACAAAAACTCGTCTTCCTCTAATGGTACTGGAGTTCATGTCCCAGGGCAGTCTTCACGAGTATCTTCACGACAGTTCAAGGTGAGTGACACATCCTGGGCAGAGTTACTACTGCTGGGGGCAGTGTCACGAAAGAACTTGAAACTTCAGTTTTCAGTACATTTTTTTATCTAAGAAATGACATACCATATCTGCCTGGCTGAAAAGCAGTTTTATTGATATCCTTGTCAGTAGATGATTTTTTTTTTTCATTAAAGAGTCCCGTTGTGCACTTGATCTGTATGTCGTAGCATTTTTCTAATGAAGTGCCATCTTATATACTTCTTTATTCTTTACACTGTGTATTTACCACATGACCAGTGATACTCTTTTCATGTTGTTTTTAGATGGTTTACAATTCCTGTTATTTTGATATGATTGCATATGTAATTTTAAAAATGTTAAATACGATATTTTTATATAATCCCAGGTATAGTACATACACATATGAAGCATCAGTGTAAGAAAAAAAAAACAAACTTGTAATTCATTCTATTCCAGACCTCCTCTGAACCATGTGAGTTACTACCAGATCTCACGTGATGTGGCTCTAGGGATGAACTACCTACACAGACACAAGCCTGTGGTACTGGTGCTGGAGCTCAACACCACACACATCTTGCTGGGGGGAAATGGGAGGGCTAAGGTGTCAGGATTTGGCTTCTCCAAGCTCAAGTGAGACTGTTGAATAGTTTCATTTATTCAGCTATGTTTTAATAAATAAATGAAGTTTCATTTGCTATAGAAAAAATAGCTTAGTTAATTTTTCAAGTATAAATGCTTTTATAGAATTTTTCTTGTTTTTGAGTTGTGCATCAGTTATAAACACCTTGAGTTTAAAAATACTTGATTGTCCTATTATCATGCCTCTGCCATTTCCAGTTGCTGTGATCATGAGTTACCAGTGATCTCTGAAGCTCAGGGTGTCTAAAAGTAAAATGTGGTAAGATTAAAAGTTAAAATTCAAGAGGCAAGCAGGTGATGGCAACCACACAAAGAAATATTGCTGCCACTAATTGTGCTGAACATTTACCTCGTGATCTTCATGTGATGAATAACTTGTGTTCCAGACATGATGCCCAGCTTGCTGCCTCTACATCTGCAGCCTGCAACCCTGCCTGGATGGCCCCAGAGTTGCTTAGCAACCATGATGTCACTACCAAAGCAGATGTTTACAGTTATGGAATTGTACTCTGGGAAATGCTGACAAGGCAGATACCATATGATGGGCTCTCTATGTATCAGGTATACAGTCATGTAACTAAACAACTTGTGGTGATATGACCTGATGGCCCAAAATGCCTGTATTTTTTCAGTATATCTTTGAATCACATAATTGTAAAACAATGAAATATAGAAGTGAATTTGCATTTGTGTATGAAAAATATTTGCTTTAATTTCTTTTACATTACTGTTTCATCAAAATCAAGCCAAATAAATTTGCTTATATTAAAAAAAAAATACAGTTTTATGTATTCTTATGAATGTAAAACCTAAATGCCCACATAAATAACTAATTTTTTTCAATTAAACTTAAGGTTCTAGAACGAGTGCGGTCCAACCAAAGGCCTTCCTTGCCACCATCATGTCCTGAGAGTCTGTCTTCTCTGATCTCCAAATGCTGGCACCAGACACCTGGCAAAAGACCCCATTTTAAGGTAGACTCATAGAGGTGGCATAATGGGCTGGTTCTTTTATTATTTATTTATTTTGCCAAATTAGAAACGAGTCAGTGACAGAAAAGTTGAAAAGTGCTGTAGGTTCTGCTGTACCTAAATTCTCTCAGGACACAGACTGATAGTTTTCATGCTATTGCTTGTTCTCATATAGATGTACACTTAATTTAATTCTCATGTTTTTTAAATTAAGAAAATTGTTGAAAAAGATGGAATCAAAATCTACCTATTATTTTTGAGGCTACCACATAAATAATCTTTTTTTGTTTTAGATGAGATAGGCATACACTTTAAACAAAGATGCAATCCTTAATTCAGTTATTTCATTTGCAGGATATCTTAGATATGTTGGAAGACTTATCTTTCCCACCTGAATGGAAGGCAGTGTTTCAAGTGGCATCAAATACACAAGAACTGCCCCAAGACAGTGTAAGAATACTAACAAACTAGGAGGTGTACCACTGGGATACAATTCAGGGATTCTAAACATTCCAAAGACCACGCCGACTTGAATTTAGGCTGATTTGGATTTAAGTCTCTGTCAGCCATTAAGAAGACCTGCACAAAACATGCAATCCCAAGCCATGTGTAGTCTCAATTGTAGGCGGGGAATATGATTCGACTTGTTAGTGTTCATGTCAGCTTTGGTGTGAAGAATTTTGCTTGCTGTAGTTTAGACAATGAGGGAACAGTATTCAGCTGAAAGCACAAAATGTTTGAAAAGAATTATTGTGGAGTCCTCATTAAATGAAAGCACATGGTAATATATTGCTGTGGATGAAAAAAATTAATGCTAATTTAAGCTGGTTTGGAATATCAATTTTAGTCAGGTCTAGCTAGGACAATAAACAACATTTGGTGTCTAGGTCAGGCCTACAATTTTAGGTAAATGTGCCAAATCACATGCTTAGATATTTCTATTTTTACAACTGTTTTATTAAGTATGCTTTTAGAATATTTCTCTTCAAATCTATTATATTATGCATTCCCTTTGTTGTTTTTTGTCAAAATGTTTTATATTTATCAGCTTGTTGCACAAAGTGCTGTGGTGGGATGATTGCAAAAAATGCATTTTTGTTTTGGGATTCTTTGGAAGAGTAAAATGCATACATAATTTTACTGTGTTCATAATATTCAGCACAATGGCAATCAAATTTTAGAGGCCAAAGATTTTTGTACCAGATTTTCCCATATTCTTTTAAGTAGAGTTTCAATCTGAAAGGCATGTTTCATCCTCCAGACAGAAGATAACAAAGTTTTAATTTTGTTGTAATCACAGGTTATAAAATGAATTAATTGTAACTTTTTTGTATGTGTTGTGTTAAAGGGGAGTTTTAAAAAATACAACACAAAGGCAATACTTCATTTTAATGCCATATGGAATTGTACATTTCACACACATGGTGACCATCATAAAATATACACATGGTGACATCATAAAATAAAGTTTAAAATTTGCATTATACCAATATTTTAAATACCTAGCTAATTTCTTTACAGACATCAGCCTTTTACCCTATGAGGCAAAATGTATGCTTATTAAAAAAATGAAGCACATTTTTAAAAAAAATTGGCACAGAATATAGGAATTTTTTACATGTAAATTATCCAATCAAAAGTCTAATCAATAACCTATTGGGAATGTTTCCTCAAGTATTGCACCCATATTGTAACTATGATCCATGGACAAAGAAACCAAGTGTAGCAGCCACTGCTATCCCAATCAGAGTAAAAAGTACCAGAATAAACTGAGGCACACTTGGTAAATTTCTCTCCAGGAAGTTTGGTTGTAGATAAGGAATGGACTCCACTTCTTCCCCTTTTTTTAATGCATCATTACTTGGCATCTTCCCTTCTGCATTTAGGACCTATTTGTAAATTAATGAAAAATAACAGTAACATTATTTTTACGTCAGTTGCCACAAAGCAATAAAATCATTGCCTAATTATTCACATCATTCTTGATAACATGTAAAATCTCTCATGGTATTTTATTGAGCTGACCACTTCACCCAGCAGCTTGATAGGTTTGTATGAGAGGAATTCACTTCTAATTTAATAAAATTGTTGAGTTTTCATAATTGGTGTCAAATCTTATTTAGGTTAAGATACTGTAACACAAATTGTACAGCTTCAAAGACTGGATCCTCTATTTCCTTTATAAAACTTGTAATGTCTGCATCAAGTTAGACATGTATTTACACTACTGAATAATGTACATGTGTAAATAAGAACCAAACTACCTCCAGCACAGCTCTTTTGGCAGATCTCACTGCCCCCTCCATGTAACCTTGAAAGGTCAAGGCTGTTTCTGTCCCAGCAAAATGAACTTTGTTGAAGGAATCTCCGTGGAGCCTGAAAAATTAACATGTTCAAGCCTAATAAAAAGGGAAACTGACGTAAAAAATCTTGTCCTATGGATCGAAAAAAACTTTTCTGTGAAAAAAAAAATCATGCACAAAACATTTCTCCAATCCCTCAGAACTTATTTCGACATATTTAACACTCATTTCAAAAGAAGTGGCATGCATGGAACAATCACCTTTTGCATTTAGTGAGCACTCCAGGTGGAAGTGAGTATACACACATCCCTTTAGTCAGCCTCTTCCATTCCTCCTCATGCCAGTCTTTCTCTATGTAGTACACTGGAGAGAGAAACTGCTCTAGACCAAACTGTGCTGCATATTGCTTGCATATCAAGGTTTTTCTTCAAAGGAAATATTTTTTACTATAACAGTGTTTTTATCACCTCTCTTGTGGAAATTGTTTTTTCTCTAGGTTTTAAATAAATTATAAAAAAGGAACAAGTAAACTATCTAATTAAAGAACTACCCTGCAGCTAAATAGAAAACTGTTAACTTCATTGAATTGTGTCAAAATTTTACCTTTTTTTTGTTACAATATTCTGATTAAATTGAAGAATATTGAAAATATGTTTATTTGATTGAGACTTTTTAATTTACATTTCTACAATATCATAATTATCAAATTATCAAATGCAAGTTAGCGTATATGTATATTTACCTCTCTTCAAGATCAAGGCTAGCACATTCATCTGCTTGGAAGCCATCAATAAATCTGAAAATAACAGCATTTTACCTTGGACACTTGGAACTTGTACAATTCATTACCTGTGCACACCTATCTTTTATAAGTGTAAACCTAATATTACATCATTTCAAATCAAATTAAAATGTATGAAACAGAGTATTATGGCAGTTAGATTAAGACATGTACTATCCTGATTGGCACTTTTAATTAGGTGACAGCAAGCAGGTAACATTATTGAGAAGGATCACCTTCAATATTCTGAAACATGCACATAAACACGCACGCACACATGCACACGCACACACACACACACACACACAAAGTGATACTGATACTCTCCATCAAAACCACCCCTCACCCCATGATACATGGTGCAGTTCCATCTGGCTTGGTGTCATCTATGGTGTAGGTAACAGGTCCTGACTGAGATATCAGCTGACCGTTCAGATCTGAAACCAAACAAATAGCTAAGAGTGGAGGATCTATGGAGAGAGGGATTGAATATCTAAATGGTTATAATACTACAGCGAAAGGACATGCAGGTAAAGGAGGGAAAGAAATCAAGTTTGAATATTAGTACATGTAGTACATGTACAGTGTCTATTCAATTTTATAATAACATATGCTCAGATAATGAACAGAACTACTGGTATTAATTAAGTTTAAGGAGAAATGTTTTCCATTTCATTTCTTTGAAATATTTTTCATTTCTCTATGCAAAAATACTGTCAAATTCACATCAAAATGCAAATAACAGGTAAATGAAATACATACAGATTGGCATACGTGTAGGAGTGCTGAATGTATTCATGAAGAAGGAAAAGTATGGAAGTAACAGCACAAGATTTGCTCACCATGGTCTCGCCAAAATGGAGCCGAGTAGTACATAAATGTCTTGATGGTATGGCTGGACTTGGGAACGATACTGACAACCTGAAAAATAAATATGATTCATGATGTTAAAAGGCATGTACATTAAAACATTTAAACTAAACATGACATTATTAAAAAAAACTGCTTCATGTACTATGGTAACAAGAGTATTTAATTAAAATGTTTTAAAAAAATATAATTTGTTTATGCATGTGTCAGCCAAATCTCACATACTCACATTTTTAACACCAGAGGGCAGCGGGGGATCAAACTGTATCTTGTCTACAGCAGTTGGAGGGATGGCCAGGATAACCCTTCTACACTGATATTTGATATCAAATAATGCACCATCGTATCAAATAATATAATAATACAGTCAAAAAATGCCATTTTTATATCTCTCCCCAAAAGGAAAATCCAACAGATACTTTTTTATTAAAATATTGATTAAGTCACACTTGTTATAACCTATGGTGCACTATAATGTGTATTTGTTCATAATGCACACACAACATTATAAACTAAGGTGACTGCCTACTTCTATGATGTCTCCCTGCTGGCAGTGTACTTCCACAGCTTCAGACGTCTGTCTGATGGCAGTTACTTGCCTCTCCTGAAGTATCCTGTCTAGTGAAGAGATCAAAGACAGGTCATTTCGAGAATCTCTGCTATAATAGTAAGTACTTACTGTCAAGCATGATGATGTTTTTCAGTAAGTGAAATCAATGCATTTTTTAATATTAACAATTTTCTAACTCGATTATCTTTTCAAAATGTAAATAAATTGTATACTTTTTTAATTACATATCAACTAAACATAATGCCTTATCAAAAGCTTTTTTCAAGAAAATATAGTATGCAAATGAGATGATAAAAACAACAACAAACAAACAAACAGAAATATATATCTGTCACTCCTTTAATAATCCAACTTTGATACTACCACAGGTAGTCACACCATGTACTTACTATTTAACTTGGCAGTTAGTTTCTCACAAATCAGACCTGATCCTCCAACAAACTTCATTTCCTGAAACCAATGCAGTTTGTTAGGTGAATATATAAGTCTAACCTGTTCAACCAATAAAGATACTTTTTTATCTAAGACTGCCCACCAGACAAACGACATTGATTCACTGTTGAATCAACGTCAATTTTGGTGGATCAACGTTGAATCAACGTAGAATCAATGTTGTTTGCCTGCTGGGTGAGTTCCCACACATTTAGATCGATCCATCTGGATCAACCTAAATCCCTGGGGGTTCACCCTAAATTGCTGTCAGCAGAGCTTGCACAAAAGTTAATTACCCCCTTACAGCTTTTAGTAGGTGGGGCAGACATTTAAGCCAGCTAATCTGACAGCAATCTAGTGAGACTCCCCACGAGGATAGATGGATCTAAAATCTGTGGGAATGCAGTCTAAGACCCCATTCCCACACACACCATTGGTCTGCATTAATCAACCCAACTCTGTGTGGACTCTTGCTAAGTGCAATCAGAATGACACGCCTCCTCTTGTTTCCAACGTACTCTTATAGCTTTTCTATATTCTACTTAATGCATGGAGGAGGCATGTCATTCAGTTAAGCTGATTGCAGTCAGTGAGAGTTCCCACAGAGTTGGGTCAGTAGACTGATGGTGTGTATGGGAATGAGGCCTAAAAAGAAAAATAATTAATAATCATATAAACTACTAAAATACAAAAGCACAAACGTTCTCTGATGTTAATGACTAAAGACTGCCTTATAAATTGCATCATCTCTTTCAACAGCTCAAACAAAAATGTAACTATGTCTCAAATCCAAAAGATGAATTGTCACATAAACATCATTTGCTCAATCAAAACTGTGAACATTTCTCTCAAGTGAAAAGTGAAAGAGCTAAAAGCTAAAACATCAACTCCCAAACCTGAGCGCCATCTTTAGTGCTGGTCAGATGCACCAACCCCCCACACATGTGGATGGTGTGGAGAAAGAACAGCATTGAAATGTCTCCTGGTTCTGTGATATATATACTTTTTGCTGCAATCTCTCCAAGCAGTTTGGCGAATCTACACACAACCATGATAAATAAAAATCACAAGTGAGTGATGCAATCAATAAATAAACAAAAGGATGAACAAAACAATCAACAAGGGAATGTACAAAAAAATATCAACTGAACCTACACAATTACAAAGCAAATAAAAGCAATTAAAATAGTGGCTTTTCTTTATCATATATTAACAGCTGACAGATAATTTAACTTTTGTAAAATTTCTTAATATATATCACAAATGAGATGTTTGATCTTACTTTGTCCAGGTGTTTTTCTCCAAATACTCTGAAACACTGACACTGTCCAAATAGTCTGCACAGGGATGATCCCAAGGTCTTCCCACAGGGACCTGAAGCAATGAAAAATTTGACAGTATACATGATATGGAACCACAAAATAAACATCATTATAACAAATTTGCCTTAATTATTCATATTATTACAGAGGCCACACATCATCTTGATGGTACATCCAATCATCTAATCTTAATACCAATCTTCTATTATTATTACAATTATTATTATTATGTTTGTGTTTTATTAGCATACTATGTACCTCCAGACTGAGTGCATCTAAGCTTCTTATCATGTGATTCAGATCCAAGAGCTCCACAGGATTATATGAGGATGGTATGTCACCCTTAAATACATATCGGTCTTTCTGAAAAAAAAGTATTTTGTAAGTTATTTCAAAAGATATATATACTAACTATAGGATACCAATGTATATATTAAATGATAAATTAATAGAGACTCTTCTATAACACTGACAACACTATATGTTTATGCACATGATGACATAAAAAAGGTAAGTAGGAACAACAATATTCTTCTTTTTACGCCATCTGAGAAGATTCAGAGATTTTTTTTTTACATCCACTTTTTTGTTGTTTTAATTATCCTTTTATTTGTTGATTGACTGATGGACTGATTGGTTAATTATATAGTTATAGAGCCGGTGTGTTGGAGATTGATCAATCGACTGACTAATTGGTTACATACGGCATTTTTCTTTTCATTTCTTTTGTTTCTTTTTTGTTAAAACAGATACACCTGTACATGTACCTCAAGCTGCAGTGTAGTCTTCAGGTTAGACCCACCCACACAATATGTCATTATCCCCAGCTCCTCTGCTAGCTTTAAAACCTGCACATGTTTTCTACTGACATAAGCTGCACCACCTTCTGCATATCCTATGTTTTCCTTCTATAAATATTCATATAATTAAACAAAATATTTTGATCAAACAATTATCGTATGAATCTAGATGAATAAACTTGTTCACATTAACCATACATGTTACGTTTTTATGCCAAATTTCATTGAGCTTGTATATGAAAAATGTATGCACAGACTATCAGCTTTCTACTATACAGTACATCATCGAACAAATACTCAGTAACTGTAAAAAAATCATTCCACTGTTACATGTAAAATGTTTAAAATAAACCATCATTTGAAGGCTTCAATCAATATTATAAGTTTGAATAAAATGTGAAAAGAATAAAAAATGTTTAGAACTGGATAGTCTACTCAGTATGTCAGTGTGACCACACAAACATTAGAATGAGTAATATTATCAAAGACAGGGACACTAGATATGTTTCTTGGTGTCAAGGTAATACCCGAATAGTTTCAGTTCTTCCTCCTGTTTTCTCTCTGGCTTCTATAACCTGTACATGTAGGCCTTCTGCTACTAACAGCTGGGCTGCATGTAATCCTGCATTAATAATAAGGATCACACTAAACAAGATTTATATTTAGATGTCAGGGAAATGAAGAAACAGATGGTCAGAATTTCTAATAATTACTTAAAAAAAACATCCTTGAAAGGTGCCATAAATGACAAAAGATAAAAATTGTAACATGCCAATTCTTTCCTATTTATGTGATTTTACATGTACTAGTACAAATGAAAAATTCTAAAGTTACTAGTACACATTTTTGTCTTACCAATCCTTCTTACTAGTATACCTGCATAACCTTCATTTCTGTTATTATCAACTGATGAAAATGCCATTTATCTTACCACTTAAACCAGCTCCAACAATAATTACATCATACATGTATCTGTCTTTGTCCTTTGGCATTGTGAACTAGTGATAGGAATGTTTATGTCATTCTCCATGTAAACCTGAAAACAAGCAATTTATTTAATTGGCCTTGGTTAAAAATGCTACACCTAAAAAGAATTCTTGATTTACAAATCTATCTGTAATACAATTTTTTCAAAAGTGCACCGCCCCTGTGCATGGGACTCAAATAGTGACACATTTTAATTTAAATATTGTGTAAAAAGAAAGGAAAAATCATTTCGAAAATTGGTCTGTTTTGTATTTTAGAATATAGTCTATCCTTCATATGTCAGACTTTGAGTGCTGCTGGACTTTGTGATTTTGGAAGAATGTATAGTTTCCCTTTCTCTGCAGTGGTTATGGTATACATACAGATTATACACTTCAAATTATTTGTGTACTTATTTAATATTTAATCATTTATTAATTTATCTATTTTACTCAAGGCCACATTTAACCAAAAATAAATAACGCACTTTTAAGTCATTTTTTCAGGCACTTCTCATTTCATTGAATTATTGAGAATTATAGAGAAATAAAAAAGCCGTGTTGCAAATGACTGAGTGTTTGTTTGTGAAAGAGGATTGAGTGAGAGAGATGTTCATTTAGTTATTTATCAATTTTGAAATGTAAGATTTTACAATTTACACTTTCCTTGGGTGATTTTAGCAGCCAAGGTGCTGTAATTACTGATTTTTCTTTAAGATTTTATTTGTTATAAAAAAATCTAGTTCGAAGAGAAATTACAGCTTATATGTGGGCTTTTTTCGGTACACATATGTACTAGTACGTGTGGGGTCCTATCGAGGAATATAATGCAAAAGTTTATTTATAACGAGGTGTGTTGGGGGGGGGGGGGGNGGACTAAAATCACGCTGGTGGTGCAATAAAGTAGCTTCGTGTTTTTTTTTTTTTTTTTTTTTTCAGAAACCGCCCAAAATGACAATTGCATATGAATTAATGAACTTTCACTTTCAATAATATTTAGCGCACGATACACTAGACTAGAGTGATCATACCGTAATGAATAAACCGCTAGTCGTTTCATATTTGAAGCAATATCGATATCACATTGACAATCGCAGCAAAGACATTGTTCTATCAAAGGAATAGCAAACAAACCTCACTTGACGTAGAGCAAGACAAGATTTAGATGACGGCCCTCGGCCACAGGTGACAGGAAGTAGCCATCGGCTCGCATGGAGAGGTGTGCCCGTTCAGGCCCCCGATTGCCCTCTCAGACCGCCATCAAGAATTTCGTTATATGCAGAATGCGTGGTTCAGCGATGGTTTCTGGCTCTTTCACCCAAACTCAATATTTATGTCCATTTGAAGAAAACTGAAAATGAAGTTAAAGACATGTGCACGAATTCTTACTTTGTTTTAATCTTTGGTAAGAGAAAGTGACAAATCAGGCATTTTATGTAAATCAATGTAACTTTCGAAATTCATGCCTTGCTAGCATGAGGAATTTTCGTTTTCAGTAACGAAGGTTTAAGCTTATTTAAAAAATAATAAACCATCATTAGGGCTCGACATTAAGGGTTGCCTTGTGCGTTTTTCAACCACTTTTTACACTCACGCAACCAGTTGTCCGACTGATTTTCTGGCACGTAGAATGCACGCGGTCGAAACTTTGTACATTTTTTTTTTATTAAAATCACATTTAAAAACACGTGTGTTGAGTAATCTAGAGGACACTGAAGCCCTACAACTTGAAGCACTGCGCATATGCCGAACTACATGTGTAGGAACTCACTGAAATTAATATTTACACAAGTTCAAGATAATTATTTTTCCACCAAAGCACGTGGATTTTGTGCAACCCTATAGGGTACGAGGGGGGCGTCTCGATAGTCCGAAGGTTCATTAGTCCGAAGGTTCATTGGTCCGAAAAGTGGTAACATTTTTATCGATTTTTTAATCAAGGGTTCATTGGTCCGAAGGTTCTATAGTGAACATTCGGACCAATGAACCTTCGGACTATTGAACCTTCGGACTATCGCTACGGCCCCGGTACGAGCAGCATTACGTCAATTCTTATATGGCGAATCACTATAGTTATTATAATGAGAAAATGTGTCTTGATACCATTTGAGTTAAAACAGATACTTCACCCTAAAATGACAATAATAATAAAGTAACCACAAGGGTGTGTGTGTTTATGGAGGTATCCGAAGTTGTGATGTAAATTCTGTAGGTAAACCTTACTGTTTTCAGTTTTGTGAAAACTGTTAGGGGGTAATTACCTTTACCCCTAGCTGATTCGGTAGGCGTGACAGACATTTAAGCCTCTTGAGCTGATAGCATTTTAATAGCGTGAACCCCCAGGGAGTTAGGTTGATCCAGTTGGATCGATCTAAGTATGGGAACCCAGTCTAAGAGTTCAAGCATACATATGGCAGGATAAAAAGTTTCCCGACTTTTATTTTACAATATAAAGTACAACGAAATCAAATCACACCAGATAAATCATTTATAGTATATGTGTCGTATGATTCATATTCCCTGCGGTTTAGCTTGCCATCATTAGGATGCTGGTTTGCAAGATACAAGTAAGATATCTACCAAAAGATAAAATTGTTTTACATCTCGTTTAAACAACTGAACTAGTAAAGGGTAAACTGTAAATTTGAAGACCTATTGTTACGTATCACGCACACAGAGTAGGCCTATTGGATGCATGGAAACACACCCACACGAAAGAAATTTATCCAAGTTTATCAAGTAAATTTAAGACTTAAAAATGCAAGCAAACAAAGGTAGGCCTACACATGTATATGTAAAAAATTATCAAAGTCGCAAAGGCACCATACAAAAACATGCATCATTTCTCCATCTTACAATATGTACAATATAATACACATAATTATGTACAATATAATACGTACTGATGTACTGTTTTTAAACATACATATTTAATATAAATATGTAGTTAGGCCCTAATATAATTTATTTGTGTATTTAACTATTTACTTGTTTATTTATATATTTATACATTTTTTCACAACTCCTGAAGTATCCCATATTATGTTAATGTAAAGTCACTGTGGTGCTTTATGTCGGCTAACGTGGATCACGTATGGGAAACAATGCTTTTAGGCACTGTTCTGTCAAGAGAATGTAAAGGTGTGTACGTATAAGTAAACGGTGTCTCTGGTTCCTTATTAGGCTGTTGCTGTAACGGTTCATAAGATTTTAAATGTTCGTTTCCTAATTTCTTGTCAATCTTATTCCCACCAGGAGCATCGTTGGACGTTTTGTCGGCGCTTGATAACAGAGCCTCTGAAGGAGAACAGGTTTCAGGGAAGATATAGGTTTTGTCATCTTCTTCACTCGAAGACCATGACAACCTCGGTGTGAGCGATGTTCTGTTGTAGTCAGCGACCTCGGCGTTACAATATTCTCCTGTTGTATATTCATCGGACGAATCATCGGTTGAATTATCAGAAAATCCGGACATTTCCTCGTTTTCCGGCGTACTTGGCAAGTCGAATGAATTGTTCAAAGAAGCTTGGGTAACACCCGCTCGTGCTGAAGGATAGGTATGGTAAAACGCGGGGTCAGTGTCAGTTGAAAAAGTTTGGCAACCCTTTTCACTCCACGTGTGGTCATTCTTTAAGGACTGTGGTATCCTATTACTGGAGCCCGTGCCGGGTTCAGTAGCAAACAGCCCAGAGCCCGCCAACTCCCGCTTCAAAAAAGACCCCATACGAAAAAAATTCGGAGACGAAAGCGCTTTCTTTGGAATCTTAGAGAGACCTGGATTCATAGACTGGCAGTCAAACTGAGACCTGTGACTTGGCATGTACTTTGACGACCGCAGATGATGGTCTGTTTTCAATTTGTGTTTGACGCAGTCGTAACAGTAACATTGTCTACGTGGGAAAGTCTCGTCGCCAACCCTGCAGCAGAGACTGAGAGATTTCGAAGAGCGGATAACACGAGGAGTCGATGGGCGAGGATTTTGTTCGGCTGATGCTTTGGTTTGACTCGCTCTCCCGCTGACCCTGGACCCAAGGTTGGGTCTCACAGTAGTATTAGGAAAGTTGGTAGTTGGGGGAAACTCACGACTGCGTCGTTTGTTGGCTCTGATGCTGCCAAATTTGTTGATGCAGCCTGGGGAAGACACACTTCTCTGAGTGTAAGAAGGCCGGTTGTGGCTTTTCAGACAGCAGGAACTGTCACACGTCATTGAACGCCTTCTGCCTGTGCAAAGCGATGTCTTAGACCCTTGATCACGATGGCAACGTTCGGAACTTGTGTTCCATACATCTGCATATCCACCACAGGTTAAACAACCTCGCGGAATTCTTTCCGTAACGCTACGTCTCGAAGAAGCGTGTCTGAAATCGCGGGAGTCTGGGATATCGTTGAGGGGGGCCTGTGCATAAGGAAAAGAAACCGGCCTAGGATGCGGCGACTTTAAGCCAATCGACCCGTTACGACCTACATCCCCAAGCAATGAGCAACGGTCACTGCAGAGAGAGGTGCGAGAACACGCTCCCCGAGACTGCGTCCTAGTAATGCCAGTGAGCTGGACAGGGTGAGTTTGGACGCATTGATCACTGCAAAGAGAGTGGCACGACCAAGTCACCTGAGGATTTGATGACCACTCACCCTGGGAGTGAAACTGTTGGTGCTTGCAACACCTCGGCGGATGGGGATTGACGCCTTCATTTGGTGTACCGTTTTGCGGTGTTTGAAGACGTGTCGTCGCATACGCTGGGATGGACTCGATGGATTCGGCACTGTCAGCGTTGCTTGATTTGTTGTCGTCCAGGCAAAGTAGGACTTGCATAAATGTTCGTTTTTTGAAGTTTGTGCCTTCTGCTTGGTCCCCGTCGTGGTCGCCCGGTGGCTGGATCCCGGCTCGTTGTATGACTTTCATATTGGCCCGCCATTGTATACACCACAGTACGCTACATATGGTGGAGATGGTGACAATGACAAAGAGGAGCGTTAAGAATAAAGCTATGTAAAGTGCTTCGTTGCCTTTCAGGTTCAGTGCTCCATTTTCATCGCTAGATGTTGCCGGCGGCAGCTCGTTTGTGCTGTTGATGGTGTTTGATAACAGGATATTATTCAGCGTAACATTGCCCGACGATTCGCCATCGTATTGTATATCTGAAATTAAGGAGGATCGACACTATAAAACCCTGTTTTCTTTCATGCAGTATAAAAGATGCTCACGGATAACAAAGACACGAGTCACCTATCAAATTTCAAGACCGACAAGATGATACCCTGCCAAGATTCATCTGGAATAATGAAATGTTTTGCGTTTTGGGTTGGTGATAATGCGTTGTAATTATTTGTGAGTATTAGGTCTACTACAGTGTCAAGTAACAATTGATGTAAACATAATAATGCTTGGGCAAACAAATTCCTGTTATTTTGCAACTAGCACCCATATCAGCCAGAATTTAGAAATAAGTCGTCAGCAATCATTGTTCTTACTTCATTTGCACAAGTTATAACTCCTTGATTTGCATAAAATCAAAATTGAAGATTTGTTCATTTACATCATTAGCGCTTTTAATCCATGACCTGAATCACGTGATACCATTCTTTGTAAAGAAAAGGTGCATTTTAAGCTTATTATCTGTGACAACGTTACATTTATTTATTTAAGGATTAGTCGCATTAAAGACATCAAGGAAAGGAAATACCAGAAATGCCACTGAATATGTTCACTGAACTATTTATTTGTATTATCATAAATGTTTAAACTTTTGGCACCTTTGTTGTTTTGGGCTATATCTAAGTTAAGCAAATACGCTCGTGTGAGTGCGTAAACTTGTGTGCGCGCGTGTGTGTGATCGCATGAGAACTGGTAATATCTTCTCATTCAGTAATTTAAATTGTCAGAAACTTTCTCTTGTCTCAGATGTTTTCAAACAAGATAACATCACTGCATGGTACCATTGTTGATTAACTGGACACTCAGATCTAAACCATCTCGGGTATCTAATTTAGTTTCACTCAAATAATCTTTTCTTACGGCATCAAGCAAACTCAAATCAAAATGGTCATTCAAATAAAATGAGAAATCGAAGATAGGAAGATGAATATAATACATTTTATCAAAATTCAACTGTTGACACTATTTTCCATGGTCTTTTAAGCAATCTCACTGCTTGTTTGCTAATACCAATTAAAACTTACCTGTGGTTTGTGACCTGTTGTTGGCCGCCTTTGACAGGATTGGCCCGAAACACAACATAAACGACCACGCGAATAATAAGGCTTTCCCCATGTCTCATGAATTGCTGGCATTCTCGGAACCCGCATCCACACCCACGTCTCAGTCCTCCGTTCACTTTACATCCGATACCCCGCAATTTAAAAACCGGCCGTGTTTTTTGGAACGTGACCTCGTGATTGAATGCCGTAAAGGGGGGTCGGATTTCAATGAGTCAACATGGGCGTTTAAATTCTAGGGGAGGGGAGGAAGGGGGTGGGGCTTTGGTGGTTGGTGAGGTATTAAATTTTGATGGAAAAATTCCCAGCAGTTTGTTAACTATCCACTAACTATTATATTCATTTCAGTAAGGGCGCGACACTGGTATATCTCAAGTGACGTTTGGTGTTACAAACATCCGTTATTTATTGAGGACACAGACACCTATACCCAAGAAATACCGAAAAATTTAACAAGGGGATTGGAATGTTGGCAAAAGTGATGGGGCTGGCAAAGGGGTCTCATGTATTGGACACTTGAGAACGAAACCTTTTCTTGACTTTCCTGGGTTTATAAAGACCTTTCTTACTGTAATTTTTCCGTGATGGGATATCATATCATTGGTTAAAAAGCAGAAGAATCAATGCTTGGTTAATCACCGGTGTTTATTTCAAACCCTGATAAGGCCATTCCATTGTTAGAATCTTGAATGTGGTGAAGGCATGCTTCTTGGACAGCGACGTGATTTTGATAGGCAAAATATTTTCTTTTACACAGTTCGTTTTGCTTTCGTATTAGACCAACATCATCATTATTTGTTTCTTTATCTTTTTTTGTGAGTAAAAGACAAAACTAAATATGCAAGAACTCAAAAGTAAATAATTATTTTATGCAGTCATGTCGTGAGTTGTAATGCCCCCGTCGTTTTCCTCCCCAATCTCGCTTATTCGTTTACGATGTTTTCTCTGCTAGACAAATTGCAATGTAGGGTAAATGTTGATACTAGGCCAAAGGTGACACGTCTTTTATTGTCGAAAACAGTTTTTTAAAGAAGAACCGCTCTCGGTTCATGTGATTTACGCTACAGGTGTGAGGAATTTAATGTTTGTTTTCAAAACTATTTAGATTCTTTTGTCCAAAATTGCCAAAGCAATTTCTGTTATTGTTCTTATTTTGTGTGAACACATTCACAAACACCAATAGACTTAAGAACTTTGGTATGTTGTTGAAATTACTTAAATAACTTCAACATTCGTCATCTTGCAACTCTTAAATTGGGTGTCAGGTTGCAAGGGAATTCCCCTGTACCGAGGGCCTGAGGAATCTGACGTTCTGTATATAAAGAATACATATATCAGTAATATTTTCTTTCTTGAACCATAGGTCTTTATGTTAGTTTCAACGATTAATTGTTTTGCCCACTTCTAAAAAACGTTTTTATCAGTAAAACGTTAACCAAACACGGCCTGCCTTTAAAAAGCAGACTCGTCGGTCGTTTCTTTTTCTTTGATATAACAGCGCCCTGGCCTCTATACCCACCAAAAATATCAACCCAGTGATTAAAAAGGAAACCAAGGTTTCCAGACGGACGTGTATTCTTTAATTCCAGGAACATGCCTTTCCCGTTCGACCCTCATACACCTGGATCCCGATGCGCTATTTCTTGGCAATGCCGATTTGAAGGGTTATCTAAAAAAAAAACTGGTTGACCTAAACATAGTATGTGCGTCTAGTGACCATGTGACACTCTATGGTAGGTGAGGGGGGGAAACTTACGAGGACAAGGCGTATAGTTAGGCCTAATATTCAATCTACTCGATCTACCAGTCTCTTTCCCCTGCCAGTATTCGTTCGGATTATTATCTGCTTGGTGAAAAAAGTATTTATATATAACGGCAAACTGACGGAGACTGTTGCTACCTGAAATTAGGCCTACACCACTGAATACCCCCCCCCCCCATCCTCATCATGCCAGCCAGAAGAAAGTAAATCCTAGATGCATCAATCAATCGTGGTCTTGTGATTACTAGTTAATCAATTTTCAGTGCCTTTGATTATTATCTTTTATCATTCATCAACTCCGATTGAGTAGAAACTTAAAATTTTCCGATGTAGTGTTTATCTTCTCTGTCGCAATCCTAAATGTAGTCTGCGCATGTGCTTTCGATCCTCTTCTTGGAAATGTGTCTCAGAATCCTCACCCTGCTATTAATTTGCATAATATAATATAGATAGCCTATTGCTGGGGCGAGGTACACGGTACAAGCAATATACGTGCATGCATCTGAATATTGCTCTTTCCTGTCGGCAATGTCGCAAAAAATGAGTTGGAGATGCTTTACCAACCTATTAAAACTGATGAATTCTAATGAATACTCGTGCCGCTGTGGTAACACAAACACACACTTAAAAAGTGATGGACGCTAATCCGCTGTTCAAATTTTATATATTTAGCAACTGAAAGGGAACTGCTGTAATCGGGTCAATAATCAGATCAACTTTCAAGCACAAAAGAGATAGTCAGTAGCAGTTGTGCCAATTTTCTAATGGTTTTTACTTGTACACACAATGGACAATAGAAGTGTCATCCCTACTGAACCAGTACTTTGGGGGAGATAAATGACTGTGGAATGATATGCTCCTGGTATCATTTTATTAACATCAAATTTCACAAAAAAAAAAAAATGTAGACCAGGCATTATAACTACTCAAGATGCCTACTTTGATTATTGATTACTTGATTTTTATTTGATTACTCTGATTCAGGGGGTGACACTTCTATTGTCCATTGTGTGTACACGCATATTTGGACCTTTTATGACGCATATGCCTATATTAAACTTTTTAAGTTTTTTTAATTTATTCAATAATTCTTTTTTAATGTATTCTAAGTTCCCTTTTGAACGAGCTTTTATAGGCCCCTATCCTTAATTTAGGCAGATCAAGGAAATTCCGTCGAAATAGAAATTGAACAAAATGAAGTCGTCTGGCTACGCTATAGAAGAGGGAAACCAAGGCACGCCATTTGGTTGTAAGGCCTACATACAGAAAGGAGATGTTGCGGTTTGTATCAAATAAACGCCCTCATTTCTATTTTCTCCAAAATTCGAGCACCAAAACACACACCACCGAAACACAAAGAGAGTCTGTTTAAAGGCGGCCTGGTGCAACTGTTTACCTACTTTTCCAGAAGAACTAAAATAATATTCTAACTCCTGAAATTAGCCCCAGATTAGCGGCACGGAGCCTCCCCTAGATCGGTGTATTGTACCCTAGGTTCTAGATTCCGGTATTGCCAGCTCGATCTTGATTTCATATATAACCAATGTCGCAATCACAAGGTATATTTAAGCTAGTTAGCTTTTACGTTGCTCTGACACTCAGGGTAGTGTATTGTCATCTAAAATCAAAAATAAGTCAATCAGGACGTATTTCTAAGGAACAGCATAGACCTTGATTATAAGATGGAATACCCTAAATTGTCACAGAAAACAAAAATGATTTTTTCTTTTTTTAACTTAAAGAACGTATGGAAGACATAATACTTTTAAAAACAAAATATACATCCATTTCACCAGCAGGGTTTAAATAATATAATTTTTTGCAACAAACTACTAAAAACGCAAACGATTTAGTGTTGCCACTGAATATGTATTTAAGACTAATCTATTTCTTGTTTGTGTCGTGATTTATTTAGGATTCTTAGTAAGTTCAGTTTAACAAATTCATGTTGAACAATTAATACAATGCAGCGAAGGTTTAACAATTTCTACTCAGTTGAAGTAGACGAGCACAATTCCCAATTAACAATATCCGATTCGGTGAAATAAAGCATTTCTAACACTTAACTCATTGATTGTCTATAAATAGAGTTCTACTTGAACCAGAACAGCAGATTTTCATTTTCGCCTGGTCTTCAGTACAATGCAAGTCAATATTGTTATGCGTGTATAAGTCAGTAATTCAAATATATGGATAGGATTTTACCCAGTGAATAAATCCACTTGCGACGAAAAGTAGAGACGATGGTCACGGGACCGTGGCTTTGTGTACTCAGGGGCGATGACAGAAACGATTAGAAAAGTCAAAAACGGGGCCGCGATGTAAAAAAAATACTTGCAATGTGATTGTATTTTCAAAGCTTTTGCATCTTCCATTTAATTCGTGTGGTTTTAAGAATCAATTGAGCCTTAAACCACCTTTCATCAATCCAGTAACTTGTTACACCAGTAAATAAATACAAGCAGCTTTATTCTGAACAAATCCATGTACACTTCGAGCAATCTACACTATCGCTTTTCTCGTACTTTGGACTGTTTATTTTTCAAAATAGGTGCCAGTTTTGTGTCATTCTCCTTTAAAGACATCTTTAACTTGACCCATCCCTGCCATTTCCGCCTTGTGTAAAAATACATCTTTTTTAAAAAGTATTTTTGTGATAAACTTCAATTTGACCCTGTACTATTTTAGGTCGCATGTTTCAGTACTTTTTGTCAGAGTAGCGCACTTATATACAAATGCACATAGATTACTCCTACTATATCGGCTTTGTGGCACCTGGCCAATAAACAATGATCCGGGTTCACAAACACTCCGACGACCTAGAGGAACAGGTAAACATAGTAAGCGTTGCCAGTGACATCCTCAGGTGTCAGGGACTTGCGAAATACGGTGCAAACAAAAAAGTGAAGTTCTTGAAGTGGTCACCAGTCGCTGGCAGTTTTATTTACATTATTTCTCTCCCACGCCTGGCCGCCAGTCTTGCACATCACAGGTAAGGGGATGACAATTGATGAGTAAGTTAATTGATAAGAATATGTTAAAATACTGTTTTGACTGTACAGGACAATGACAAGTCGGTCGCCGTTCTAACCGCTACTGGGGTTGTAAGAGAATCGTTATTATGCAATATCATAAAAATGCGTTGCGTTAAAAAGGATTTTCCATGGTACATTTTTAGAGACACGTTTAGTCAAAAAACTTTTTAATTAGTTCAGTTACAGCTGCATTGCATTACTTGATTCATCAGTTTATACTCCAGATGCTATTTTGATAATCGTAGCTCGAGGTAGTTTATCAGCATAAGGCGGATTGTGTGCTTGTATCAATTAAAAAAAGTCCGTTTACTATAGAATAACACATCAAAAGACGAGATAACGCATGGCAACTGACACGAATATTTAAGGCGATATTTTATAAACCATATAAAATCATCAGTTGTTTAAAAGTACTGAAATATAAGATAACGCATGGAAATCTCTAAAAAAAGAAAGGTGGGAACATATAAACATATAAATATACGGTAAATTTGTCATTGGGTATTTAGATACATATGATAGATTTCTATCAAAATCTGTTACACGGGATATTTCATGCCGCATTTCCCCTCCCTTCCAATAACGGGGGTTTGTGTTATTTGATACAAAATTTAATCAATTCATTCTATTTTGCAACAGACTACAGATAGCCCTGTAGTCGGAGGGGAACCTCTTCTCATATTTTAGATTACATACGTCGCACTTTTTTCTTTATCACAAATGAAATGTATATTTGGTATCTCTGCTGCTTTAAAATAGGTAGCTGACTGACTGAAAAATGTAAATTAGAACCACGTGGCATTGCAACATGGATATAAGCTTAAGGGTGCAAACTATTATTTATTCATTTTTTGATTTCATTTTTTTTTTTACCAAATTAGTGCTATTTTTGATGCGGACTGGTATTATGCTATATTTCAGTAACGATTGCGAAATAAATACCCGTGATCTTATTATACTCCACTGTCTGGCGTATAGCTTTTATTTCCAGTTCACTGATATTGCGAAATTCCCGTTGCGCAATGACCGGGCGACCTGAAATTGCAGCTTTGAGCGTTAAATGACTGCTTTGTACATGTATTTCTCTCTGCGAACGCTGACGTGCTCCCTACGGGGTATTATCAAAAGATTTTTCTTTTGAATATTGTATATTTCTTTCCGATCCAGTCGTTAGTATGATTGAAACAGCATACGCTTCAAACAATTTTAGAAACGCTCCAGGTCGTCTTAGATCCTATCCCTGATGTTCTCAATCAAATCGCTACTATAAAACCTGTAAAGTATTTTATAGCACATGATATTTGCAAGTGTGCACATAGATTTTGTTTTGTATATTTCAAAATTATTTGGCATTTTGGTGAAAACGCCACTGACATACTAAAACAAATGAAAAAATAACGATGAATCTTGATCAATTCTCATATAAGAAACGCAATGTGTTAAAACTATTCAAGTTAAATAATATTCAGTTTTATATTGTTTGGAATTAATTTTTTTTTTGTGTGGAATCAATTCCTTTTT